ATTTTAATCATGAAAGCCTCGTTAGTATGCGTAGCATCTCGAAGACCAAGGCCACCCTGTTCCTTCTTCCTGCACACCGACTTCCAATCCAACAAATGAATCTTCTTTCCCGCCTCCGAACTGAAGGACTTATAGTTAATTGATGTAATTGTAGAAAAGGGGAAAAGGCTTACCATTAAAAAGCAAAGGGAAAGAAGAAACATTCTTCCTTCCTGGAGGCTTTGACATGATCATTAAGCTATAATTAGCATGGACAATTTAAATTGGTTCCAATTTTGTTTTTTGTTTTTTGTTTACTTGTGTTTTTTGGTACTCATGCATGCATGCGTGACGTATAATTTCCAGCATATCTTTTCATTCCCTCTTAATTTCCAGCATATAACAACCATCTTCATTAATGGTATGTTAATAAGTGCCCTTGGGAGTTAAAACAACTAATTAAATGTCGAGCCTTGATAGTGGAGACGGACTCGCAAGTGGCAATTCAACTGGTAAAACACAGAACAGACCCTCTGCATCCCTGTGCTACGCTTCTCTCGGCCATTAGACGGAAGATTGCGCAAGATTGGGTGGTGAATCTAGTTCATACATACAGGGAAGGGAATAGAGTCGCGGACTGGCTCTCGAAGCACAGTCTCGTCTATCCCTATACGGTATGTATGAGCTAGAGACACCACCAGAGGAACTTCAGACTTTTTTACAGGATGATCAACAAGGTCTCACCTACACTAGAAGTGTGGTGGTTTCGAGTCCTCCTACTCCTGCTTAGCTCTTCCCCCCCCCCCCCCTGTAATTCTTTCCTGCTTTGGCGTAATGCCTCCTCCAATGCAAAAAAAATGTGATTTCTGAAAAAAATACAAATTGATTAATTAGGAGATTAAAACGTTAATGAATTCCATTTTTTTAACTTTCAAGGTGAAAACGTTAGTCGGGGATAGGAAATCCCCCCATACAATACAAAGGACTATAAATACTAAGCTCCCACAAACTCTTTTTTCCCCCTCAACAAGCCAAAAAGAGAATTTTACAACGCAGAGCTCTTAACAAAGCGGAAAAGCACAAAGTCTAAAAAATGACAAAGCGGTCGCCCTTAGCCGTGGTTGTCGTCCTGATCATGGTAATAAGTGCCCTCGTGTCTGTGAAGCCCGTAGCGTCATCGTGTTATGAACCATGGTACGGCCCATCTCGCCCGCTCTCTCAAAAGGAGCTGCAATGGGAGTCGCAGAAGAGCCTGGCCGTGTTTGCGGTGGAGGAGCACAATAAGGCGCTCTCGGCTGCTCAGCGGTTGAAGCTGGTAAGCATCGACGAGGGTGTTTATTACCCTTTATCACCCAGTACGGATTTTACCAGCATGAATATTACTGCTGCTTCCAACAGCTCTGGCGCCCAAGCCAAGTACTGGATCTTTGTCACCCACAGCATTGCTTATGATCACCTTGACCTGAAATGCTTCGAGAAAATTTAGTCGTTATATGAGAGCTTTGTATATGCAGACTTAACATTGCCTTATAGTTAATAATAATGTTTTGGATGTTTGAGCATCATGCAAATATTGGGTTTCTGAAATGGGACCATATATATTGGTCTTGCATTGTGATTTTTGGTGGTGTTGGAGTAGTAATAATGTTTATATAGTACTATGCACCAAGACCTCAAAATTTATGTACGTAGTTTGACGAATTTAAAAAATATCGAAAAAAATCAGGACAAATTTGACCGTTTCATTTCGTTACCGAACACTATTGAGTAGAGCATGTTACAATCCATAACACTATGTTCATGAAGGAAGGGAGGAAAAGGAGGGGAGGGTAGGAAAATTTGGAGGGTAGGTTAAGTTTGGAAGGGAGGGAAATTAGAGAGAATTGGAAAGAAAATGTTGTTTAATGGAGGAAAGTGGAAGGGAAAGTGGGAGGGAAAAAGTAGATTGGGAATTGTGATATGTATTATATTTTATTGATGATAGAATAGTTAAATAATTTAATTATGTGTTTATACTATTTACATTAATTATGTGATGTGGATCAAATTTGTTCACCCTAAAATACGTACGGGAGCCATCAAATAAATGGAAAAAAATAAAATTAATTGACAATAATACGAATATGAAAGTTTTAAACAGATAAAATATGTACTGATACATTATCGTGTATTACAAGCAATATTTACTAACTATGCTTCTCAAAAATATATTAACTCGTTTATCTCACTAATTAAACTCATTGGCTAACTAATTATCTCACTAATTAATATATTCATATTCTTAATCTTACAAACCCATCATAAACCACTTACCAAAAAAAAGTGCCACTTGAGAGAATTGTGGAGAAGCCACACCACTGAATTTGGGAAAGTAAAACAAAAGAAAATTTTGAGAAAGAAAAAAAGAAAAGGATCCGAAAAAATGAAACCCCATTTCCCACTCAGCTTTCTCTCCGAAATGGAGGGTAGCCTCCTACAGTACACTTTCCCTATATTTTCTTTCCTCGGTTACTGTTGCAAAGCTTAAAAAACAAGGGAAAACATCTTGGTTCCTGTGCTTTCCCTTACACTTTTCCTTTCCTCCCACTTTCCATCCTAAATGAACATAGTGTAAATGGTCGCTAACTCTCATGTCCGCAAAACCCCACCGACCGCCGAGCTTCCTTGCACCAGGACAGTTGTCCCATCCATGTTGAGGCAACACCATCCAGGCTTCTGCGGTCTCCAACAAACCAACTCAATCGACTTCTGCCTGTCTCCTCCCATGGCCTCACTCCCTTTACTAAAAGCTCGCTCGGTCTGTTGCTTCAAGAGCTTAGTTCTGACCGCAATCTCCGTAAAAGGTGTTAACTGCTTCTCAAACACATGTACACATTCCTATTTTTCCATAACTGCCAGCACAAGATACCAAACAGTGATGGGTCCACACACACACACCTCTTCCCGTCACGTAGTGAAGCATCCACAGCAAAAGGACTCTGTTATAAACGCACTGCTACAGATCGCGAAATAGCCGGAATCGATAAAGCAAGAATACGAAAGCGAGAACCGAAAAACACAGACACACGATTTACGTGGTTCACTAACACGATGTGTGTTAGCTAGTCCACGGGCGAGAGAGAGCCAGTTTCACTATATCGAGGAGATTACAGATTATAGAGGAGATGAGAAGTATTTATACTTCTACATGAGACCCCCCCCCCCTACACTAATCCAGTCGTAGCGGCTGATAGTCCGATTCAAGTCACATCAACAAATCTCCACCTTGACTCGAATCCTCTTCCTCTGAAAACCCTGAAATGGTATGAACTATGAAGCAGCATATGTAACTGCAACGTTGACGATCGTACTATTTATATAAACATTAAACGGTAACAGTAAGTAATAATAAATGAGAGAAAATCTCATGTGAATATAAGGGACCTTGTGTTAAATACAAGTATAGAACTATTGACCACGTCGTTGGTCTCCATTACTTTCTTTACCGAATATATATAGTCGTTTTCCATTAAGTTACTTTAATCTGAACGCGTATGTCTGTTTTTATTAGGCACATTTAGTAACAACAAGGATAAAATTATGATAAACGTTGTTGATTGAAGGAGAACACATTTCATATAATAAATACTAAAAAATTCATACAAGAACGGCAAACATTAGTGAAGATAGTAAATTAATTATGATTATAAATACTAATTTCTCACACACTTTCTCTCAATAAGAAGAGCAACCAAAAAAAGTAAGAATTTTACGAGGTGACAAAAAGGGTAGAATCTAAAAATGACAAAGCGGCCACTTTTAACGACGACACTCGTCGTCGTCATGGTAAGCGTCCTTCTGTCCGTCGTGAAGCTGGCGACGTCGTCGCCATGTGTCGCAGAAGGTATCGGTCCACTTGTTCCGGTCTCTGTCAAGATACTGCGAGAGGTGCCATATATGGTGGAGTTTGGGTTGGGGGAGCACAATAAGGCGCTCTCGAGGCCCCACCGATTGAAGCTGGTAAGCATCGACGGTGGTGCTTATTACCGTGCGGATCCTGAGATGGATTTTGTCAGTTTCGATATTACTGCATCCAACCGCTTCGGTCGTGGCAAGTACAATATGTTTGTCACCCGCGCCTACACCTATAATGAACTTAAGCTCAAATGCTTTGAGAAAATTTAGTTACATGTTCGGTGTTATTTGAAAGCTTTTGGATGCAAATCTAGCATTGCCTAGCTATAATAATGATGTTGATGTTTGAGCATCATCCGACATTTTCTGAAATGGGACCATATTGGTCCTTGCATTATTGTGGTTTTGGGGTGTGTGATATGCCCGGTGTAGGAGACCTTGGAGTGGTGTAGGAGACCTTGGGTGTAGGAGACCTCACGAGGTGGTCAAGGGGGGTCATCTGAGCACGTGGTCTCCCTACTCTCGTAATGGTGAAGTATTTTTGCCATTTTGACTCAGATGGTTCGAGTACCCACCCATATGTGGCATGTGGTCTGCTTTCATGCCTTAACCATTTTTACTCTATGGATAAGCAAAACTACGAAGGAGATGCCAAGAGCAGAGGTTGAGGTCTCAAGAGGAGGAAGTCAAGACTAAAGAGGATCCCATATCCAACATCAGGGTAACCGTTATAGCAGTTGAGTGGGTAACCGTCACTCTACGTCAGCAGAGCAGTTTCTTGGGGCAGTTACTTCTGGTGGCTATAAATAGGAGGTGAAGATGACAGAGAAAGGGTTCGCCAAAATCACACCAGACAACACAATGTCAAATTTTACCCTTTTATCTTTACCTTTTCCTCTGCAAATGTAGTCATAGCCATAGTTGTAGTTTTGGAGCTCTCACTGAACCTCCATAGGAGTAGAGTTAATGTAATTTAGTTTTCCTCGTAGATCATCAAGAACATCGAACACCCTTGTTTGAACTTTGTTCAAAGAGGTGTGGACCGTGTTTCTTAATCGTTTGTTTGGAAGTCAAAAAGGTGCAAAAATCCAATTCTCTTTCCTTTATTTTTCTCGCCGGGAAAACAGGAGGTCGAGGTGGGAATTCCACTCTTTGTCGCAGACGATCAGACCTTGATCGTGTTTCAGCCACGTCTCGTTGAACCCCGGAAAGCATCCTCCTTGGTATAACCCCATGGCCACTATCCTCCTGGCCCCATGGCGTATCACGGTCTGCCAAATTCGAAATGAATCGGATTAATTAATTAATTAGAATAGTGAAATGAAATGAAATGGCCAATTGAACCTAGCTATCATCACCACTAATTACCTTGATTCCGTCTTTGAGAGCCGCAATCACGTCGGGGATGATCGTCATCCTCTCCTCGGGTGTTTTCTTAAAACCACCGTAGTCGTTCCCTCCACCCCCGAGCACGAAGAGGGCCGACCCGTAGTTGGCCTTGCGGGCTGGAAAAAAAAATGAATATCAAAAGACGTAAACTAATTAATTAAAAAAGGCTAGATAGAATAGATTGAATCTCGTATTAATTCTAATTAAGGGTAATAATTAAAAATATGACCTGATTCATTGGGGAAGGCCTCCTTTGAGAAGTTGACGAACCATTGGAGCTGATCGTCGAGACCAGTTTGAGAATATGTGAAGTGTATGCCGAACTTGTCCCGCTGAGCCTTGGACAGGAGCCCGACTCCAGCTACGGCGAAGTTGGCGCCTTTCGAGTGGTCCAGATCCTTCCTCAGGTACGGGTTACAGTGGGGTAACCCGGCCGACTCCGCTGGAAAAAAAAAAACATTAAGGAAAAAATTAAACATCTTCTAACAAGTAAGAAAAACGAAACATAGAAAAAAATAATAAAAAAAGATGGAGTTCAAATCTTCGTGTTACAAATATTACTATGGCCCGGCTTATCCGATGTCTCACCAGGAGGTGCAATTGGAGAAAAATCAACGGCTCGCTCGGTTTGCGGTGGATGAGCACAATAAAGTGCTCTCAAGTGCTCACCGGTTGAAGCTGGTCAGCGTAAAGGATGGTGCTTATTACCGCGTAGCACCGGATAAGGATTTTAAAAGTCTCAATATTATTGCATCCAACAGCTTCGGCCAAGCCAAGTACAGGGCCTTTGTCACCGAACACTTAATGGCCTATGACGAACTTACCCTTCAATGCTTTGAGAAAATCTAGTTAAAGATGGATGTGATTTGAACGATTGTGTATGCAAACTTAGCATTGCCTAACTATAGTCATAATAATGTTAATGTTTGAGCATCATACACATTTATATACACTATGACTTCTATTATACACCCGTTTGATTTCAAAATCACGGTGATGTTTTCATCATGAGAGAAATTTCATGTCGATCTTATATGACAAGAGCCCAAAAGACTCGGTTAAACGAATGAATATGAGGTTTCTTTCAAATGAAGTATGAAAGAAAAACCAATCAAAATGAAATATGAACCAGATCTAATCAAACCAAACGAACAAAATCGATGCTATCTTGGTTCAGTCTGATTTTAGAGTGAATCAACCGATCCCCGTCCTACATGCGATTGATATTGACCTAGTTGGTTGCCATTGCATTTACCTTCTTTCTTGGATAAATGATGGTCATATGACTATGGTAATTGAGGATTCATAATAAATTATGAAGAGCTTAACAATTTGTATTGTCTGCCGGAACCAAGTCAGATTTGCATTTACCCAAAATAATGTATGGTATAAATTTATATCACTGAAATGGCGTTGGCAACGTTTCTTTATGGCTCATTTGGAGAATTGGAGTCTAAATCGCTAGATTCAAAACAATCCAACAATTTTAACTCTCTGGATTGTTGAAAACAGATTTGAAAATGTTTATTGTTTGGTAACTACAATGGTTAACATCCAATGAAAAAAGAATTTTTATTTTTTCTAGCAACTGACATGTTTATCCTTAACCAAAATAATTATACTAGCTCTAAAAATATTGGGAATTTATTGGTAATGGTATTTAGTGAGATAAATGAAAAAAGAAAAAGATAGAGTAGGAGGGAGAAAATCTCCAAAATCAAGATATAGTTACTCTCTAATTATGATATTTGATATCTCTATATCTTAGATATTTAAAATCTCTGAAGCTACAATCCACAATTCAAAAAGTAGAGTAAAAACATAACATTTTACTAAATCTATAGATTCAATAAATCCATGATCCAGATCTTGTTCTCCAAACGACTCCGAAATATAGTCGTTTACCATTAAGTTACTTTACCTTGAAGCGTATGCACGTTTTTATTAGGCACATTTGGTAATAAAGATAACATATCAATGATAATCGTGGTTGACTCATCAAAGAATTTTATTTCAACTTCGATTGCACAAAAAGTTCAAAACGAATCTTCTGTCGGGAAACACGTTTTCGTATAGTAAATACTAAAAAGTTTCATACGAGAACGGCACATATATATATTTTTTTAAGTTTCTAAAGAGAAGACGTTAGTCAAGATAGAGAAGTAATTATGCTTATAAATACTAAGCTCTCACACACTTTCTCTCAGAGCAACCAAAAAAAGCAAGAGATATTTTTACGAGGCAAGAATAGCACTCAGACGCAAAAAGGGCAGAATCTAAAAAATGACAAACCGGTCACGTTTAACGGCGGCGCTCGTCGTCATGGTAAGCGTCCTTCTGTCCGTGAAGCTGGTGACGTCGTCACCGTGTGTCGCAAAAGGTATCGGTCCACCGGTTCCCGTCTCTGTCAAGATACTGCAAGATGTTCAGTATATGGTAGAGTTTGGGTTGGGGGAGCACAATAAGGCGCTCTCGAGGGTTCATCAATTGAAATTGGTTAGCATTGACGGCGGTGCTTATTACCGTGCAGCACCTTGGCTGGATTTTGTCAGTTTCGATATTACTGCATCCAACAGCTTCGGTCGGGCCAAGTACAATATGTTTGTCACCCGCTCCTACGCCTATAATGAACTTGTGCTCAGATGCTTTGAGAAAATTTAGTTACATATCGGTGTTATTTGAAAGCATTTGGATGCAAATTTAGCATTGCTTAGCTATAATAATAATAATAATAATAATAATAATAATAATAATAATAATAATAACCTCGATGTTTGAGCATCATCCAACATTGTCTGATCACTACAAGAAAATTGACCTATGGCGACAAAATTTTGGAGGCAGATGTTATATCAGCCTCTAAATATATATTTATACAACAAATATAAAATTTGCCTCTATAGAATCGAAAGGTAGCGTGGAGGCGCTCATCTAGGGTTTTCATCGTTCTTCAATGTAGAATCTACCTTGCCATTGAGCCGCCCGCTGAATCTTACTCGACATTTCCCCTCATAATCGGCTACTCGACGGTAGTTGTTATCTTTGAATTCTTCAAGAAACCAATCTATAACAATCGCAGCAGCAGATCCAGGGCGGGTGAGAAAGAGTAGTCGCGTCGAGATGGGGATTGCGATAGTAAGGACTGGATCTGCTGCTCTCCGGCAACGTGAAGCTCGTCCTCTAACCCTAAGTTCCCGCCGCGCTCAACAAAATTTCATCCCAATCTCTTTTCGTCGCATGTTCATTACCTGTCGTGGCCTCCTTCAATCATTGGTAAGTTCCCATGCTCTCTTTCTCTACAGGGTAAAGAGTTTGTTGGTTGAGATGTGTCTGTAAATTAGTTTCTATGGGTTATTATTAACAGGTTGTAGATTTGAGATTACAGTCTAAGTGAGCCATGAGAATTTTTGTTTTGTTGACTTGTCCGCTTATGGTTTGCATACTTGTAACATTTTGTTGTGTTGAATTTTGACCCTGTTCTTTTGGATTACGTGTTGCATATTTTGTAGTGTTGAATAGGCCGAATGGAGCAAGTGTTTTCCTTTGCTTCATTTCTCTGTACAATGAAGTTATGGACTGCTTCCCCATTCTTGAGGAGTTTAAGGAGTCCCGACTAATTAAGTGCGTGCAATTGTTAGGCATGAAGGAACTAGAGGTCGGATTGGTTGAAGTTTTTTGTCAAAAATTGAGCCCCATAGGTAAGTTATTAATTAGTTTATTAGAGATGTGGTAGTACTGAGTATTGCTTTGCCATCTAGTATTATAACCTAAATTAATTCCTCCACTGTGGTTTATTTATAACATCCTCAAATGGAATGCTAACTCAAATTTCAATATTATCTTTAATACAGGTTGAACCAGTTTGAAGATTTCACATTTACAAATGTTGGTGATAGAGATGATCATAGAATTTGGTGTTATGGTACTGGTGCACAATATCAAGACTATAGTAGATTTATTCAGTATTAAGTATCAACATTGGATTTTAAGATTGTTGTTTGTACGTTTTTGAACTATTGTAAGCATATTTAATTTTTAATTGTTAACTGAATTGGAGAGTTTACATTTGTGGTATTTATTCATAATATCATAATTAATATATTGGAATAGAATCCAATACGTACAACAAATATCTTCATCATATACCACAACAAATAATATCCTAATCACAAACACTCATTTGTACCGCTAATAACTAAAATTACCAGCAAATACATTTGTCATAAAACATACGAATTGGAGGCAATTAATAGTCGTGCAAATTTGCAACAAAAAAATTACTAGGGAAGCAGAAATATCTGTCACTAAATATAACATTACAGACAAATATTTGTGTTGCAAAAGTTAGAAAAGAAGACAATAAAATAGTCATTCAAAAGTGAAATTAGCAACAAAACTATCTGTTGCAAATTCTTATATTAGCAGCGGATAATATTTGCCGCTAACATCTGTCGCTAAAGAGATTTAGCGGTAGCAGTATTGACAGCACATATTTATGTGCCACTATAGAGCTTTCGTGGCACATAAATCAATTATCATGACACATATGCTTAGCCTCCAAAAATCATTTTTCTTTGTAGTGTGAAATGAGACCACATTGGTCGTTGCATTGGTGGTTCTGTCCAAGACACAGGTTTGGCGATTTTCATTTCAATAGTGCATGCTAATGGACACAGCCCATCGTGGTGAGGCCCAGCCGGCCCAACCTTGTGCAAATCCACATCGAGAGCCCAGCGGAAATCGGGGATACCACGTAAATCCTTGCCTCAAAATGGCTCTACTTCTCTCTACTGCGACAACCAGGCAGCTCTTCACATTGCTGCCAATCCGGTGTTTCATGAGCGCACCAAGCATGTCGAGATGGACTGCTACTTCGTTCGTGAGCGAGTTCATTCAGGCGATATCGCCCCCATGAAGATCAGCTCTCATCTCCAACTTGCTGATATGTTCACTAAAGGTCTTGGTGCGGAGCGGTTCCATTTCCTCTTGTCCAAGCTGCACGTTCGTGATCTCCACGCTCCAGCTTGCGGGGGAGTAATGGACACAGCCCATCGTGGTGAGGCCCAGCCGGCCCAACCTTGTGCAAATCCACATCGAGAGCCCAGCGGCAGCAGTAGCCCTAGGGCGTCTCATGTGTGTTGGGATTTTACATGTCCCTGTTATGTAACCCTAGGTGAAAAAGCAAAAGGGTATAAAACCATGTATATGGCCGACGGCCAGAAGTAAGAAAGTTGAATAAGAATTTTATCTTGGAGAGCAGAGCTCTCCCGTGGACTAGTCCCGGAAATCGGGGATACCACGTAAATCCTTGTCTCGTGTTATTAGTTTCTTCATATTTTACACATGCAGTTAGTTACAAGGGAAAATAAAGAAGCCACCACAACATCAAACTACACTTCCATTACATGCCAACAACACGAGTACTTAGAAGTCCAACTTAAGCTAAACATAGAAACTCAAATCAGGCCTCGCCGCGTCAAATCATACCCACTAGAACAAAGAAACTAACAGCAAATGGCAACCAGAGTTGCTGCCGGATTCTTCTACCCGCCGCATCCGATTTCAAGCTTGTGGAGTTGACACAGTCCAAATCGCGATGGATCCAGGGTACGACCTTCCTCGCAATAAGCTGGTATGCATGGCCGCTGAAGTGGTAACCGTCAAACCAGATGTAATTCCATGGATCCTTGCAATATGGAACACCGGGTTGTCCACAGTTATCGTTATCCTTGATTCCACAACATCGCCGGTAGCTGTTGTGCTTCAGGCCTGCATCAAACATAAACAATGTTTTTATTTTATCAAACCGCCACAATCAAAGAACACCCAAAAAATTATTAAAGCCATGCAAACTGTACCAAGAGAGTGGTAGTGGTCGAACATCCACTGCACCCCATCCCAAACGTCGCCGTAGGCGATGTGGATGTCGGGGAACTCCCTTCCCAAATCAGCAACCATCAGCCGAACCTCTTTGTTGTGGTGGTCGAGGTGGGAATTCCACTCTTTGTCGCAGATGATAGGGCCTTGGTCGTGTTCCAGCCACGTCTCGTTGTACCCCGGAAAGCATCCTCCTTGGTATACCCCCATCGCCACTATCCTCCTCGCCCCAAGGCTTATCACGGCCTGCCAAATTCGAAAATGGTGGAAGCATAAGTGATCAAATTCATATATATAGTTCAAAGCAAAAAAAATGAAATGAAGTTGCCAACTGAACCGATAATTAACTTACCTTGATTCCATCTTTGAGAGCCGCAATCACGATGGGGATGATCGTCATCCTCTCCTCCGGTGTGCTCTTAAACCCGCCGTAGTCGTTCCCTCCACCGCCGAGTACGAAGAGGGCCGACTCAAAATTGGCCTTGCGGGCTGAAAAATCAAGAGACATAAGCAAAATTAAAAAAAGGCTAGATAGAATAATTAGGTGACATATTATAGTTAATTAGGAGTAATTAAATTGAATGTGACCTGATTCATTGTGGAAGGCCTCCTTGGAGAAGTTGGCGAACCATTCGAGCTGTTCGTCCAGACCACTCTGAGACCACTTAAAGTGTATGTTAAGCGTGTCTCGCTGAGCCTTGGACAGGAGGCCGACTCCAGCCACGGCGAAGTTGGCGCCTTTGCTGTGGTCCAGATCCTTCCTCAGGTACGGGTTACAGTGGGGTAACCCGGCCGACTCCGCTGGAAAAAAAAAGCATTAAGGAAAATATTAAACATGTTCTAACAAGTAAGAAAAACGAAACATAGAAAAAAATAAAAAAAAAAAGATGGAGTTTTCGCACTCACCGATCCGGTCGATGAGGAGGTACCCGTCGGAGAACCTCCCCGTCGGCTTCCCGTCTGGGGTGGACATTCCGTACGGGTGCTGCCCCGAGCCCGCAAAGTCGAACTGGACTAGGGCATTGCCCGTGTCCGACATCGAGTCGCCAAAGTTGTAGAGGGCAGAGAAGCCGCACTCTCTGAGCAGTTGGGGGCTCGCCGGAGGGAGGTAAGCAAGCAGAAAGAGGAGAGGAAGGAAGCAGGCGGCCGGAGTATGCATCTTGGCCATCGGAGCAGGGAAAGAAGAGAGTTTGGGATTCTGTACGTTTGAGAGGAAGCGGTTTTATAAGCTGTATGTAGCAAGCAAGGAAGGAGAGTTGTTTCAGTTCAAATTAGCGCTTCAGGTTTAGAGCTGTTGGCGACACCTAAAAGCTGTACATCATTTACTGCACCACAGACATTAATACATGGGGAAGAGGAGAGGATTGTAGGGGTGGGATTCGGTCGGTAAACGGTAAATTGTTTACCAAATTTACCGGTTTGGGTATACCGAAGTTGGTCAAATTGGTTACCGATTACCGATACCGGTTTGTAACCGGTTTACCGATTACCGAATTACCGGTAAACGGTTACAAACCGGTATTACCGAAATACCGTGAGAAGCGATTTCGGGCAATTTTTCGGTCGGTTTACCGAACCGAATTTCTGGAAGTGGGGTGATGTTGTAATATTTTGATTTTTTTGAGTTTTTTTCATCATTTTTGTAATTAATAATTTATTATTAACTCTTATTTACAATATTTTTGAGGCCTATACTTACTTGCATTCATGTATGTAATATTTTATATTTGTGAATAATGATGTATAGGTTATATGTTAGTGGAGTAGGGAGGGGGATTTCGGTATCGGTATTACCGGTTTACCGTCGGTATTTATCGATACTGTGTCCGGTAAACCGACTCCCCCAACTTCCCGCTCGGCTGCCGATTTCCGCCCATCCCATATTAATACCTACTATGTGGCAAAGGCCAATGTTCATTTCTTTTGACTTCCTCGCTCGTGTTAATTAGTCATAAAATTCTTCTATCACATTTCGGGGGTTTTTCGGATCAGGGAAAGAAAAAAAATTCGACCGCGAGAACAGACCAAAATCGCGTTCGGAGATTCAACATGAATCAGATTGTGTATTCGATATTATATCGATCGAATCTGAACAGATATCGAACTAAGCCAATCCAATGCATGTAATTAGGAGCCTTCTCCACGTACACAGACCGTGTAGTACTGAGTCGGATAGAATCCTATGCTCTACCCCAAATAACAAGAACATCATATAATAATAATAATAACAACAATGTTAGTACTTGTCAACATTAAATTAAAGCCACCAACCCAAACCCAACCCATTATGAGAATGAATGAAGGGAAGAAGAGATATGGAGAGAGATTTCAGGCAAAGAGGTGTAAAATATAGAGACATGGGAGATATGGAGAAATCTGCTTGCCCACTGTTGGAATCTGATTGAGACAAATGCATCATGGGGAAGTGGAGAACAAATTGAAAGCAACTGCACATATTAAAGCAGCCAACTGTATATATACGTACGTACCACAATTTTCAAGCAAAAATCTCAATTGTTTCAATATATAACAACAATCTGGATCATTGTTGTACGTACTTATATACGTACGTGTTCTAAGTTAAGTTAAACAAAATTAAATAGCACATATTAAATCACTCGTACCATGCATCAACAAGTAGAATAAAGATCACACGTACGTACACATGAATATGATAATGGATTCATTATGATCGAAGCGTTTTTTCTTCATTCCTTGCGTTTTAAGAAAACTTATGAAATGGAAATTAACCGAATAATAATAATGTATTCGTCTTATATATTACCGATCCAAACATCGGTCTAAACCAGTTTGATTGAATGTGGACTCGATCTCAGTGCCCTAAAATCAATTCTCCTTTTTTCCCCTTTGCTTGTTGGCTTCCCCGATGATATGAATGCAGATAACATAACGACTCTCTTTTGCCTTTGTACTCTTGGGAAGAACGATTTCATCTGCTTTGATGCAAGCAAGTAGAAATGAATCTTTTTTTTTTTAAAAGGCCCTCTTTTAAGATTGCAGTAAATGCTACTTATGATGAAAAGAGAAACAATATAGGGAAGAACTGAAGCTAGCTAGCACTTCTCTGATTGATCAACTTTTCCCATATCCACAGCCCAGTTCATTCATGGGAATGGGACTCTCTTCTCTTACTTGCCCCTTTTTCCTTCCCTTCATTTACTTCCAGTTTAGTAAAATTCTATAGCAGAGATATATAATATATTGGGAGATGATCTGGTTGGTTCCCTTGCCTTCCTCCTTGACCTAGTTGTGTCATCATATCACATGCAGAAGCAAGCAACTCATCATATATGGGATAGCAATTGGTGAATGATTATTTGACTAGGGGTAGCTCGATGATGAAAATGGATGTGACAATTTAGCTCGATTGGCTCAAAATGAAGCAATTGAGTCTAATTGCTTCTTCTTGCAACACGAAATGGGGATGCTTCGATTTGGTCGAAGAAATTATTTCGTTCTGCATCGATTTGAATTGATAGTGGAGGGACAAGTATTTTTCAAATGATGCGTTGTTTGTGAGATGAGGCAAATTTGAAGTAATTAATTGGGTCGTAAGAAGGGGAGAACGAGAGATTAAACGCAAAGATGGAAAAGCGGTCTTCAAAATCCTGCAAGAAAGATCCTCGGGGGAGTAGCCAAGGAGTGGCTCCAAGCTGCTACTGTCAGGCGTACTCGGATTGCGTCGTCCCGAGGAACAATGGGCTAGCTCGTTAGCAGTCCCCTTATGAGATCCTTCTGCTGCTTTTGGGCCAGGGGCGACTGTGGGCCTTGAGCCCATGTGTACTCAAATAATGGGTCCAACACATCTAGAATGGGGTAAAGGAGAGTTTTCCGGGAAGAAATTTGCCTCAACAATAATAGAAATTTACCTCAATTTGATACCCTCTGTTAAATTTTGGGAGACGGAAAATGTAATGATGCAACTAAAAACTTATTTGTGTATTTTTTGTTGCAACTAAAAGAAATTACGTGGTTAGGGTGCAACGAGATTATGCATTCAACCCGTTTGTTTACAAGTACGGCAAACTAACAAAACTGAAAATAGTTTTATTTTGAGGCGGACTGACCCGAAACCAATTCTTTCCTCATCGCACTCACCTGCAGCTTCGGCTACTACGTCTTCCTCCCGGGCTACATCTTCCAAATGCTCACTTCCATGTCCTGGGTCTGCTGGATCTTCCCCCAGTCCGTCCTGGCCCAACAGCTCGGCTCGGGCCTCAACGGGCTCGGACTGGCAGCCGTCGGATTCCACTGGCCCGCCATCTCATCCTACCTCGGTAGCCCACTCGCCAGCCCATGGTTCGAATGAAGAGGAGACACAGAATAACAGGCAAAGATCATTACTTCATTGGAACCCTAGAAGAAGAATCTATGTACGTACACAAAAGCAGCAGCTGCTGGAAGAATGAAACGAACCCCAGAAGAAGAAAATTCAGAGCATGCAACCGCCTACTGATATAGGAACCCTCAACTATGGATCTTACAATTTTGATCCCTGGACTATTACTGTTTTCTCGAACCAATCATTCGTTACCGTTAGTTTAACCATTCAAATCATGTTATCTTTGATCCAAAGTACATTTTAAACTAAACAAAAACAATTTTTTTAATATGATTTTAGCACCTTTTTCAGGATTCGCCCATTCTGAAAGTTCATATTTGTTTTTTCATAAAACCGACGAGCAAAACTTGAGGGGATAAGATTATGGTAAAAGCGATTGTCGATGTTATCATAACCGAGATATTAAATGGTCCTTGGCTCAATGATGCAACAATATATACGTAGCAAAAAAATATACGACATACTAAGTCGAATGTGAGACAATATGGAATCTCTCAAAAAATTTGAAAGAATAAACGGTATATTCTTATTGATAAACTACAACTATAAGTCCAATTTGTATTATTACCACATGCATTTACAGAACATATTCAGACCTATATGAGACAAGACGAAACATTTTGAGAAATTTGAAGGAATAAAAGACATGTTTTTTAATTGTTTAATGTTTAACTAAAACGGCTTGGTGTAACATTTTCATATAATTTCTATTATTTTTTTGATAATATATAATTTCTATTCTTACCCCAAGTATTTTCGGGGGAAAATTAATCATTGACTCAAAGTCAAGATTAAAATCAAAATCTTGTAAATCCAAAAGAACACCCTATTTATATTTTTCTTTAGAAAAAGACCTCGAAAACACAATTGAATCCACGAGTGATTTTTAAGGACCATAAACACTTACACTAATATGGAAAAATACCTAAACTCTACGACTCTGATAAAAAAAAAATGATTTTGCCCAATTATATAACAATACTCGTAGTATAAAATAGTATTACTCGTATTACTCACATGTTAATAATGAAAAATACCTTCTACGATTCTGATAAAAAAAACTTAGTCAAATAAAGCCCACAGTCCTCACATCACATCACATTAACTAGGAATAAGAAGATAGCAATCACTACAGCAAATGGCAACCACAGCTACTCATGGACGATGCTACCAGGAAGAAGGCCCCCATTAGATTTGGAGCTAGTGGATTTGTGGGCTGCGACGACATCCATTCCTTGGTGCAGTCGAGAGTAATGGGAGATCCACTGAATCACTTTGCTTGCAATCAGCTCGTAGGCGTGACCTGTGAAGTGTTGACCATCGAACCATATATAGTGCCATGGATCGAGGCAGAAGGGGGCATCGAGTTGACCACACTTATCATGATGCTCAATTCCACAGGATTGCTTATAGCTATTGTGTTTCAGCATTGCATACAAAACAAACTACGTTTTTATTTTATCAAACCACGATAAAAAAACACCACAATTATTAAAATACAAAAAAAAAAAGTCATGCACGTACCAAGATAATGGTAGTGGTCGAACATCGATTGCACCCCATCCCAAACATCGACGTAAGTGATATGGATGTCCAGGAACTTCCCAAATCACCAACCAGCAGCTCAACCTCTTTGTTGTGAAGGTCGAGGTGGGGAATTCCGCTCTTTGTCACACATGATAGGGCCTTGATCATGTTCTAGCGCAGCACCTTGTTGAACCCTGGAAAGCCTCCTTTGAGAAGTTGATGAACCATTTGAGCTGCTCATCCAGAACACTTTGAGAATACTTAAAAGCGTATGTCAAGCTTGTCCCGCTGAGCCTTCGATAGGAGCCCGACTCCAGCTACGGCGAAGTTGGCGCCTTTGGTGTGGTCTAGATCCTTCCTCAAGTAGGGTTACAATGGGGCAACCACGCCAACTCCGCTGGAAAACGTAAAAAAAAAAATATTATACATGTTTTAGGTAAGAAAAACAAAACATAAAAAAATGAAGTTTTGGCAATTACCGATACGGTCAATGAGGAGGTAGCCGTCAGAGAACTTGTCGGTCGGCTTCTCGTCGCCGACAAACATCCCATATGGGTGCTTCCCTGAGCCGACGAAGTCGAATTGCATGAGGGCATTGCCCGTGTCGGACATGGAATCGCCGAAATTGTAGATGGCGGAGAACCCACACCCTTTGAGCAGCTGTGGCGAAGCCTGAGGGAGATGTACGAGTAGAAAGAGAAAGGGAAGAAGCAGCAAACAAGAGGTAGATACACAAGCAAGGTGATCTTCATTATTCCACTTTAGGTGTATGAAGAACAAATCCAACTAATTAATCAAAAGCAACGCCCCAAATCCAACTAAACAAGTAATAAGTTGTAATATGTGGTTGAGAGGAATGAAAATTATGGCAAGAGGGGAGGGAGGGAAAGGAGTTTGGTAAATGTTTTTGGTTTTATAAACGAATGAGGATGCGGTAGGTTGGTTCAAATTAATCGAGGTAGCGGTAGACAATCTATTGCACAGATATGGAGAGTAGAGCTCTAGCTCTTACCATTATTAGAGTATGAGTAATACGAGTAATATATTGTTATGTAATTAGGCAAAGTTTTTTTTTTATCTTAGTCGTAGAAGTTAGATATTTTCCATATTAGTGTATATATGTCTAACATTGTATATAAACACTCAAACTAATATGGAAAATACCCAAACTCTACGACCCTTATAAGAAACATGATTTTGCCTAGTTATATAACAATACTCATAGTATAAAATAGTACTACTCGTATTACTCACACGATAATAATGAAAAATACTTTCTGAGATTCTAATAAAAAAATATAACTTACTAAAATTATATAACAATTCTCTAATATGTACATACTGTGAGGAACAAAGCAAATCAGAAGTCTTTGTTACATGGTCGATCCGATGAGAAGGTATTTAGTCCACATTTAAGATCACAACTATTTGATCTTCTGCGTCGCAGCAAGAAATACACCACGTACTAAGACCGATGTGAGACAATATGGAATCTCTCAAGAAATTTGAAAGAATAAACGGTACATTTTTATTGATAAACTAAAATTATAAGTCCAATTTGTATTATTACCACATGTATTTACAAACACATATTCAGACCTATATGAGATAGGATGAAACATTTTTTGAGAAGTTTGAAGGAATAAAGGACATGTTTTTTTATTGTTCAACTAAAATCGCATGATGTTACATTTTCGTCCAATTTCTATTTTTATCCAAATTATTTTCGCTAAAAAATTAATAATTGACTCAGAGTCAAGAGTAAAATCAAAATCTTGGACATCCAAAAGAACACCCTAGTTTCCTGACCTCGAAAACACAATTGAATCCACGAGTGATTTTTAAGGACCATAATTGCTAATTTGCTATATTGACTCTTCATAATTTAAAATCGGGTAAATACAATATATTATCCATAACTATTAAGTAGCGGGGAATTATAGCTACAACTATCGAAATACAAATTATTAGCCATAACTATTGTTGTGGGTCAAGATTTGGTTAATAGCCTGTTACTGTTTTCAAATTTTTAACGTAGAAGGCCATGTCAGCATCGTAAAAAATATGATATGATGACTTCCACGTGGGAGCCAGCTCACCATCGTAAAAGCTTAGTCATCATTACTAATAGAAGTGTTAACGAAAACTTAACGATTGGCTAGTAATTTGTATTTCGATAGTTGTGACTATAATTCCCCGCTGTTTAATAGTTATGGATAATATATTGTATTTGCCCTTTAAAATCTAATCCAACTTCCAAGATAAACAATAAACAAACAAAAATCAAAGCAGAAGAAAATAAGATATTGCAGCCAAAAAATCTAGAACAAAAAAGGACGAATCCGTAAATTACCCGCTCCTTTTTTTCAAACCCCTAAACCCCCCGCCATCCGACGGTCCAACTTCTTCCTCAAGAAAAATCAGATCTAATCCCAACCCTTCGATCTCCCATTCATTAACCCCTCCCCTTCAAATTGCCGTCCCTCTCACTTTTCTCTTCCCCACCACAGCCCACAAAACAGAACCCCAACTTCCTCTTCCCTCTCTCTCTCTCTCTCTCTCTCTGCGTCTCCGCTCTTCTCACTGAACCGCACAGTGAAACCGCCGCTCCGGTCTCCTGATTCCCGTCGTCCACAGCCGAAAGTCATTGCCGAGGGAAACAATAGCCGGAAACTCAGACGGAGATTTTCCGACTACCGTAGCAGTAGATCGATTCTGTTCTGCCCTTTCACGTGACGGCTTTCGATCCGCTTTGCTTCTAGGTTAGTATCGATTCGTTTCTCTTCCGATTCGTTAGTTCTGGCTCTTTATTTGGCTTTTGAGTCTCCGCTGAACGGTTCTTGCTTTTGGTTTCCCTGTGAGACATTGAATTCCCGATTTAGCACTAAATATCTTATTTGGATTTCCCGTGCTATATTTGAACTGGGTTTTTTTTTTTTTTTGTATTTTTTGTGTCCAGAGGTTTTTTCTGTGATGGGAAAGTTTTCGACTTTTTTGGTCTTTTGTTTGTTTCCGAAAAATTGCGGAGAGCAAGAAGAGGGAAAAAAGATCGCTTTCAAATCGTGGTTGAAACGGAATCTTTGGTTTATTGTCAGTTGAAAAGGAGAATCAGAATCTAGAACCCAAGTTGAATCTGCTAACCTGCGTGTGATGCACTCTCTGCCACCTAACGCCTCTTAGGTCTATTTTTGGTGAATCATTGAGTGAGTTGAATTGGGGGGAGTTTTGCTTGTCCGGAATGGAGAGGTTTCGAATTTTTAAATTTATATGGTGTTGAATTTTTCACAATGGTGGCTTATGGACCAAGTTATTTAGTTCTTATTGGCGTAGGAAACTGGTGGGGATAGGACACGGATAGTCCATTTACGTGTATAAAGTGGAATAGAGGCCAGATATATATTCAATTGCTTCCTATTTGTCTATTGTCCATTATATCTTCTTATTCTTCTTCTACACCATTCTTTCAATCTGCAGGCGCTGTTTCAGCTTTGTTAGTGTAGTCGACGATGGCAACAGGGACCAAGCTCGAGAAAAGTATCCTTATTTTGGTTCATCTTTGTGCTTTAAGTTCATTCTGAAAGCCTTTCTTCTTTGGGTGTCATATGGCCGTGTGTACGTTTTTAAGCGACAAAAAGATAAAAGCTTTGCAAGTTTCTGGTAATTGTTGTGTGTGATGTCTCCTATTGCTTTCGATTCTCCCGCTTTTTTGTTGTTACTGTCGTCCTAGTTATTTGTGATAGTGGAGCTATGTATCTAAAGCGCTATTATGTATGTTCTAGGGTTCTTATTCCCTTTTCCCCCATCCTCGTCCCCTTGGTGATGTAGTAGTATGCCTATTGGTTCATCTAATCATAGCAATACCAGGGAGTTCCGGCTAGTTTGAGCGTGGTTTTCGTTGGGTTTTGATGTTAGTACCATGGAATTCTTTCCTGTTGTTAGCCTTAACTTTTTGATGCAGCTGAACCCATTCCTACAGGACCGATGATTGAAGCTGTCAGTAAATTGGCGGAACACGACATGGTATGTGTTTCTTCCAGTTAAATTTGGTGTTTGACTATTGTTACTGAGTTACAAGATCATCGAGTTGATATGTACATGCATGCTCTTTGGTGTTTCTGATCACCCTTTGTTTTATTTGAAGATCCAAGCTGATTCTTTTCTACAAATGATTTGAGCGAATTTGGCTGAGCTTTAAGCTTCTTCTCTTTTTTAGACGAGTAGTATTTGTACATGAGAATTACCACTGTGTGTTGCCTCATCAAACTCTCTTTCCTTGATATATGTTATTTGCAGGCTTCAAGGAAAGGTTCAGTGAGATCTGATACAACTCCCAGCATTCCCTCAAGAGATGCTAAACCTGGCATCAAAGCTGATGTTGATGTAGCTTCTAACATCAAAGGGAATAATGATACGGAGTCATATGGGCAGCACGCTCTGTATAATGTGCCCACTAGCACTTATGGCTATTATTACCCAGGTTAGTTGACGGATGAATTTAATCACATTTCAAGTTAGGAATTTGATGGCTTCTGCTACCTGAAATAGAGCACTGCATCACCAGTTCCATGGTTGACACAGAGCAATTAGTGATATGGTCAGCAGCAGCCCGTTCATTAGAACCTTCCACTTACTAGTTTGAAAATGTAGTTTGAGTTTGCATTTTATTGATTGACCCATTATTTAACATTCTTCTATCATCGTTGTCTTTTGGCAGGCTATGGTGGGTCATTACCTCAGTTGGATGAGCATGGTTATTTTCAAGCAGATGGTTCTCATTTGGTAAGTCTTGGCTGGCAGCATTATGTAGTTGGCAAAACTTGCTCTTTCTTCTTCCAGACAAATGATAATTTTCCTACTCATTTCTCTATTCAGGCTCTGCAATCTGACAATGGCTCTATGGTTTATTACATGCCTGGATACAATCCTTATTCTCCTGGGGCTGTAGTTGGTGTAGATGGTCAAACTGTTGGTCAACAACAATTTTATCCTTCCTCCGAGTACCTTCAGCAGCCTGTATCTTATGGATCAGAGGCTGTGCCTTTATATAATTGGGATTCCACTTATCTCAGTGACACCCCGAATGGACATGTTGGATTCCCATCTGACAACTACAATAGTCGAGGTGCTGCTACTACTGCTCTTCACAAGTCCAGTGGGATGAACTCTACGAAAACAAATGGTACTATCAGTGGAAAATACCCTAGGCCTAATAGTACACAACCTGCAAGGCCTCTTAACAAGGTGAGCCAACCGAATTGAAATCTTCTGAATGTTAGAACTAATTCTCTTCTGGAAAAAGTTAAAAAAAATTCTTAAAAGACCCAATCTTGTCATTTTAAACTTACCGTTTGTATGATTTATTAATTTTCCAGGTCCAGCCCTTGGGTTCTGATTACTCGGCAGGTTTCTTGAAGGGATATAATAACACTGTAGGAAGGTTACCTCCTTTCAGTGGTCAGCAGAAACATTTGGCATTTCCCCAGTATGGCTCACTAAACTACAGGCAGAATGCTAGGTCATGGAATGTAAATGATGATAGAAGCAGATCAAGATACAACAGAACACAAAGACATGGAAGTTTCGAGTCTAATGAATTGTCTTGTGGCCCTAGGGGGGCTGCCAGCAGGGGTGTTGGACCTACGGATCCCACGACGGTCAAGAGTGAAACCTTAAACTCCGCAGCATCGTTGCTCAGAAGCGACCAGTATAATGCAGCCGATTTCGAAACTGTATATGAGAGTGCCAAGTTTTACATTATCAAATCCTATAGTGAAGATGACATTCATAAGAGTATCAAGTATAACGTCTGGTCGAGTACACCAAATGGAAATAAAAAGCTGGATGCAGCTTTCCGTGATTCGGAGGAGAAATCGAGTGAGAGTGGCAAGAAGTGTCCAGTTTTCCTCTTCTTCTCGGTGAGTTTGAATTCTGCACCTGTTCTTTTTCTTTTCCTGCTACTGCTTGTAGTTATGCATTTAGTACTTTCTATTATAGTATCTTGTTGTTCGCTTACAACTTTTATCCCGATAACACAGGTAAATGGTAGTGGCCAGTTTGTTGGGTTAGCAGAGATGACTGGGATGGTGGACTTCAAGAAGGACATGGACTTTTGGCAAGTTGATAAGTGGAGTGGTTTCTTCCCTTTGAAGTGGCATATCATTAAGGACATTCCCAACACTCAGCTGAGGCATATTATCCTTGAAAACAATGATAACCGGCCCGTCACCTTTAGCAGAGACACTCAGGAGGTATGTTCCTTGCTGTGCGTTGCTTTGTTCCTGTCAGTCCTTTTATTTTCGACTGATACCATTTTCCTCACTGTTGCAGATTGGACTGAAGCAAGGCCTGGAAATGCTGACCATCTTCAAGACATACGTGCCAAAAGCGTCCTTGTTAGATGACTTCAATTTCTATGAAGATAGAGAGAAGGCTCACAGCGCTAAGAAGAACAAGCCTGCAACTCTGCGAATGGAGGTGTATGAGAAAGATGAGGAGTACGATTTCATTGTAAGATCCTTTTTTCTCCCTCAGGTCCCCTAATGGTTTCTTGATCTTGAGAGGATTCTTCCTTTTCAAGTTATAGTGATTGAAACTCCTCCTGTTTTGCTAACTTTCCGAGAATGCATCATCTGCTCTTGTTCGGTCGCAGAACCACACGAGAGCAGCACAGCAGAAGAAATTTGAAGATCCTTACTCGCTCATCAAGCAAACCAAGAATCTGTCTCTCAATGGCTACCACTCCAAGAAAAGTTCTGCAACCAACACAACAGATGGTCCAGTCCCTGCTGCAGCTGCACCATAAAACCTTCTGCACCCCCTCTCTCCTATAAGCTCTTCACCCTGTTTCTTTCTCTTTATTAATTTTTTTAGATTTATTTCCCATCTTCCTTTCTTAGCCCCCTTGTTTTGTCTATTTCTTAGTCTAGAATGATGATATGGTCTCTATTCCATCAATTTTTAATGTTCTTCAATCCCAATTCTCTTTCCATTACTAGCATGCATTATCTTCTGACTTCTCAGTTTTGTGGCTATTCAAAGTTCCCTATTTTGGTTTCTATGATTGAGGGAAAAGAACCTAAAGATCAGAGATCATATTATTTTGCATGGGATGTGGTACTCTGCTTGTCAACTCATTGGTGGTGCTCGGCTTGTTGGCACTGGTAGATTTGGGATAGGTGTATGGTTTGGAATGGTACAGCGAGGAGCTCGTTCTTCCACCATTGAAATATTGTCCAGCCACGTTTTTGTAACAGATGGGAGAATGACATTTGCCGACACAAGACTTCAATAACTAGATGCACCACTCATCTCAATCTACATTCTTCTTTAAAGATTGTTTATCTTTGTATTGTTTACTATCTTTTTTTGATTACTAACAGACATAGATGGAGCATTTGCTTTTGGGTTTCGGGTTGATTTAAGTGTTTGTATGTTGGAAAGTTTGAAGTGGAATCATAAGCTCATATCTATTTTATATATATTTATAGGGTCATGTAAGCTTATTACTCGAAGTGCTACCTTTATGATTCTCATTGTCCATGGTTTTTTGTTGTTGAATTTGCGCCAATCATACAACGACGATTATGTTTCTTAACCTATGGATCAGTGAAAGTTTGATGCATGGTAAAAGTTTAGAACTAACCTTTCAATGATGTCAAAAGCCTTCCATGTTTAGGAAGGAGAGGGAAATTGTATGCTTGCATGTAGACGATGTATGATTTTAAGTAAACTCGGAATCCGAGACATGTACAGTAGTTGTTCTTATTATCTCTATCGGTCTAATCATGTCCATCAGTCGGCTTTTCGAATTCGTTCACACTCTTTAGTCTTTAGTGTCCTTTTTAGTTATAATTAAAATTTTGGGGCTCGTTTGGTAGTCAAACAAAAGTATGTGGATGGTAACAGAAATTAATTTGAGGTAGAAAACAAGAGGGAAATGAATAAAAGCGGAAACCTCTCTAAACCCCTACATCCAACGGTCAATATTCCCTCTCCGCCAACCCGCGATCTAATCCTAGCCGTCAGATACCTCCTTAATAAAACCTCCCTCACTAGTCTTCTCTTTCTCTCCTTTTTCCCTCTTTTCCTGCTCCTCCCTACACTCAGCTCCGCCGCCACTCGACTTCCTTCTCGTCCTCCGGGGAGCCGCTTCTTGAGCCGGCCGCCGGTCGTTTACTACCTCTGTTGCAGAAGCGGTCTTCCTCGGATATCAGATCGGCATCTCGTCGTTTCTTTCCCAATCTCGTTCTGTCTCGGAAATCCTCTTGCCAGGTTCAGTTCAACTTCAATCCTCTTTAAGTGGGCGCTCAGCTCAGTAATAGCTTTGAAATTTGAGCGGAGCAGGCGAATCAGTTGCTTGAAAGGCTTTCTCGATTGATTTGGTGGATGGATGCTTTCGGCTGTAGATTCGTGGAACGTTTTTTTGGATTTGTGCAGATTTAGAGTGTTGCTCGCTGTGCTGTAGTTGGCGTTTAGGAATTTGGATGGGTTTTGTTGGGTGCAAGCGTTCTGTTAGCAATCTTCGGTCCCAGAATTTCGCTTTTCGGAATAAGATTTTGCTGGGAAGTGGGAAATATCACTTTCTGAGGGCAGTGGATGTAGAATCTGATGCTTCTCTCTTTTCATTTTGTTGATGTCTGTTTTACTGTTCTACTAATTATTGAAAAGGGAATCAGAATGTTGATAATTGGAGAGTACTAGTTGATGAGGGACCATGGAAATTTTAGAAGAGGGCGCAGTTTTTGCTTGTGTTCTTTTGCTTTCATCTTTTGATCTCAACCAACACCTTTTATATTGTTTTTCCTTCTTATTCCTCTTCTTCTCCTGCTATCTTTTTCATCTTGCAGGTGCTTCTGGGACTTTAAGATCGACAATGGCAACTGGAATGGGAATGAAACTCGAGAAATGTATCCTGTCTTTGTGGTTGACTTGATTTTGCTTGTTGCAGCTTTAAATGATTTTTAGAATCATAGTTTTTGCTCTAATTGGTGAGGGGAGGTGACTATAGGATCTGTTTTACGATCTGCAATCCTCCATGGGGAGGAGGGTCCACTTAAATGGGTATATTTTCAAGTTAGATATTTGAAAAATGGGGGTTCTCATCATTTTCTTTCCTGTTTTACCGATCCTTTGTTTCATAGAATCTTCTGCATTGTTGTTTTTATTCATTTTCCGCTGAAGAGGTGATATATATTATTATTATTTTTCATAGAATCTTCTGCACTATTGTTTTAAAAGAAACTAATGATGTCAGGTTCATGTTGAACCTCTCGTACCAGCTTTCACTTGGTTTCGTCATATCATTTAACTGTTTTGGTTAATTATGCAGATGGTGAATCACAGTATTCAATACCCTAGAGTTTATTGTTCTCCATCTATTGCTTTACTTCCAAATGAATCATTGTTGCTTTGTTGAAATGGGTTGTTGTCCCTAACCATATGGTATAGCTGAGCCTATTCAAGTGGGATTGAAGTCGGAACCTCCAAGTAAATTGGTTGAGCATGATGTGGTATGTTGAACTTTAGATTATGTTGCACTCATTTCTTCCTTATGTCTGCTTATTCTTTCTGTAATACATATGGATTGGTCAAGGAAGAGAAAATATATCCTGAAGTATTACTGGCAACTATAAATTTGGAATTACTGCTGTTAAATTATTTTGTCTTCAGATTGTAAAAGTTTGATTAGTCAAGTTCCAGCCTTGCTCAAAATCTTTTGCCTGACTTGCAACCGTATTGCACTTGATTACAGATCAAAGCTTCATATTATTTTTCCATTCTGATCCTTTTCTAAATGCTTTTATTTTCAGGGTTCTGGAAAAGATGGAAAACCATCTGATTCCCCTGTCTCCATTCCCAATGGAGCTACTATTACTTCTGGGATAAAGGGTGAGAATGGCCATGATTCCAACGGGAAGATTGATGTCTACAATCCACCAACAAATGGTTATGGTTATTACTACCCAGGTTAGGCAATTGGTCTGAGTTCATTTGGTGATTTGTCTTAAGGTTACTTCTGTACCATTTTGTTAGAATATTTGGCTGAATAGTACGCTGTACTTACTGATAGAGTTCTTGTCATCTGGCAGGATATGGAGGACCATATGGGCAATTGGATGATCAAGGATTTTTCCAGACTGATGGTTCCATTGCAGTAAGTCCGGAATTTCCTATGTCATAATCATTATTCATCTCCTCTTGTCACCGTTAAATACGTTTAATCTAACTAGGTATTGCTTTCATTGTTTGACTGTAACTTCTGGGCATGCAGTCAGACAATGGTTCTCTGGTGTATTTCTATCCTGGCTATGATCCCTATGCTACTGGGGCAGTTTTGGGAGTCGATGGGCAAACTGTTGGTCAGCAACCCTATTATTCATCTACTGGATATTTACACAACCCAATGTCATATGGATCTGAAGTGATGTCTTGTTATCCTTGGGATTCAACATACATGGGAAATATGCCAAATGGTAATGCTCCCTATGGTAATGGTCTGAGTAAGTCCAACGGCTTGAACTCCACTCAACCTAATGGAAACCTTGGTAGCAAGTTTTCTAAGGCTACGAATGCGCAACCAGCCAGACCACTAAACAAGGTATGTGTATTTCTTCTACACTGTTTAGGTCACTCTTCTAAGTCATCTGATAATAACTTCTGTAAAGATCTTCAATGCATGGTCCATTACATACTAGATGCATGAACGCTGTTGTATGGATTTTTGGCCATAAATTTAACAGCATGGGCCTCACAATGATGTTTTTATCGTCAACTTGTGCTGTAAATTTGAGCATTGCCTGTGACGAATGCTAAGTTCTCTAGATTGTTTTTGAGTTTCTACTTGATTCTCCGACCTCCGTTTGACTCAGGTTGCATTTATATGTTGCTGATGTGAAACACATGTTGCAGGTTCCTCCTTTGGGTTCTGATTTTTCTGCTGGCTATTTTAAAGGGTATCCACCTGTGGGGAAGTTTTCTCCATTTAATGGGCAAAAGCAAGCTCCTTTCTCTCCAAATGGTTTCGTTAACTACAGACAAAATGGAAGGATGTGGAATGGTAACTATAGAAACAAGCCTAGAGACAGAATCTCAAAAAATGGTGATTTTGAGAATGCTACTGAACTAGCTTGTGGTCCTAGGGCGTCCAACAGAAGTACCCCATTGGATCCTTCTACAAAGAAAGAAGACCTGGAAGGAACAGCATGTGCCGACCAGTACAACCTTCCGGATTTTGAAATCGAGCATGCAAATGCTAAGTTCTATGTCATCAAGTCATACAATGAAGATGACATCCACAAAAGCATCAAGTACAATGTGTGGGCTAGTACTCCCAACGGAAACAGAAAGCTCGACGAGGCATTCCGCAGTGCACAAGAAAAATCCAGTGAGGCTAGTGGTACAAGTTGCCCAATATTTCTCTTCTTCTCGGTAGGTTCACTAGTCTTGATTTAGTATGTTTGTTTTGCTTGCCAAGTTTTTAGCATAAGTCTTGAATTTATATAGCTAACTTCTCGGCGCCACTTCCTTATGCTTTCATATAATACAACAGGTAAATGGGAGTGGTCAGTTTGTTGGGTTAGCTGAAATGGTTGGACAAGTGGATTTCAACAAGGACATGGACTTTTGGCAGCTCAGCAAGTGGAATGGCTTCTTTCCAGTCAAGTGGCATGTAGTTAAAGACATCCCTAACAATCAGTTGAGGCACATCATACTTGAGAACAATGAAAACCGACCTGTAACTTTCAGCAGGGACACCCAGGAGGCAAGTGTTATTCTATATAAAAAATCTCACCCATTCCCAATATTGTAAATGGAAATAGAAGTTATATTGTGAATTTCTGTTGTACTAATAATCCGGCCTCATTTCAACAGATTCTGATGAAGCAAGGTTTAGAAATGTTGAGTATTTTCAAGAGCTACTCGCCAAAGTCATCATTGTTAGAGGACTTCACCTTCTATGAGACCAGGGAGAAGTCTGTCAATGCGAAAAAGAACAGTAAGGCCACTACTGGGGAAGCAGAAACACTTGAAAATGGTGATATCGCAGTAAGTTCATTATCCTCAATGTTTGTCAGTCTGTTTAATGTTGTTATATTCGATTGTTTACTGCTGTATAGGGTTTTGTTATAACCAATATTACTGCCTTGATTTATGCAGAAGGATGCCAAAACTGGAGAAGAGAGAGCCGAAGATGATACTAAGACTGGGAAGGGCGCTAACAGCCCCTCAAGTCTTGCTGATCTAACTAAGAACCTCTCCCTAAATGGCTGCAGTCTAAAGGAGAATTCTGTGATGAAGCCAATCGAGAACGGGCTCCCAGCTGCTGTTGTCGTTGCTGCCGCTGCACCATAGGAGACTTGACGTATGGGGAATTAGAAAAAAGCTGTACCAGTAGTAGTTTTTCATAGTTTTTACCAATGTTATAGCTCAATCCAGGAGGGTTTCTTGTATGTCCCCTCTAAAGTGTTCTTTTGTCATTCGATTCCCTCTGTAGTTCATTTGTTTCAGTTTTGCTTGTTTCTTGTTGTAAGCCAGTTTTCATAGGCTTTTTTTGGTGCTTTAGGTGAGTAATGTCTTGGCTTCATTTTGGGCAAAGTGCTTTCGTTTTCTCACTCTTTTTAGGGAGTCAGATTGTTTTGTGGTGTCTATTTTGGTCATTTACAATTTCGACCTTTTTCCCCAGTCTATTTTCAGCCTTTTGTTCTTGAGTTTGAGTTTGACAGCTGACTTGCTAATTTTAGAGTTGTGACTATTAATAAAACACTAACCACAATAGATAAATACAACTACAATGTTCATTGCCCTTTTAATGCTTTTTGGGGTTTGGAATTAACATATGACCCTAGTGCTATTATGGTTAGGACGACTTAACGTGATAAACATCTTGTCCATGATTATTGGGTGCATAGTCGAGCATCGTACTCAGTATATACCGGTATTTTTATCTCAAAGGTTTCTGAATGAGTAATAAGAGTTATGAGTTATGACATTGATTAAATGGTAGTCCACTTCGAATTGGCTATCGTGCTATCATGTATTGTTAAGGGAACATAACATTCATCATAAACCAACTAATTTGGATTGAAAGGGTTGGGTTCTCATATCACCTTGTACTACGGATTTCATTCATAGTGCACTATGAACACTATATCAAAATGTTCACCTTGCTTTTCTATTTTGATTTGAATTGAAGAATTGACATTGAATCAAGGATTGAAAGTTTTGTTAATGCTTAGCTAAACACAAACAAAATTCCAGTGAAACTTTTGTTAATGTTTATATTTCAGGGACCGTCAAGTCAATAATTTCAAAGTTGGATGACCATATTTGTAATTGGCCAGGGGCTTAAGACACAACACACAAGTTTAAACCCTTCTGAGAGACTGAGGCTGACGCCGGGAATCAGAACTCTACTCCTCTCGGATCGCGTTGATTGGACGGCGGCGCCGGCCAGAAACTGATTCCAGGCAAACCACCCGCCGCGATATGCCGGATAATTCAAAGCACTGCCTGCCACACTCTGAAACTGCTGAAAAGGAACGGCCTTCAAAAGTCCCGAAAACTCTGCTAGCGGACGGAGAAGAAGAAGAAGAAGAAGGCGAATTTGAATCGGGCGGCATTCCGGAGGCGATGAGTCCAAACCCTCGGCTTCAGCGTTATTTGGTAGCTATCGAGTACATAGGCACTCGCTTCTCTGGTTCCCAGAAGCAGCCCGTCGACAGGACTGTTGTGGGCGTGCTTGAGGTAAAACCCCAAAACACAGAAAGAGACGATCTTCAACATGCCCTTCTTATGTCTTGTTTGTCTGTGGTTTTTGCTGAGCGAACTTGATAGAAAGAGAAAATTTTGACCTGTCTCTCTGTGGTGTTTCTTTTGCGAGGAAAGGAGGCATTTCACAAATTCATTGGGCAACCAGTGTCAGTCTCCCTATCCAGCCGCACGGTAATCTGGTTTCTCCTTATTGGCTCGTTATAGTTGACAATCTGTAGCTTCTGTGACAGATTGAGAATGAGAACGCGAATTTGTTAGTTATCCCAAAAGCTGAAATGGCAATCCAAGAATTATGGGTGTTCCAAGCAAGAAGTGTCATATTCGTGTTCGTGGGTTCACGTCATGTTGAGTGTTTTCAAATTGCTCTTTAGGCGAGTTGATCGTGATTTGTATTGTGATTTCTTTACTTGTAGGATGCAGGAGTACATGCCTTGGCTAATGTGTGCCATGTGGATGTGGAACGAATTAGCAAAAGGAAACCCGGTGAAGTTGTATGCTTTCTGCTCATTACCTAGACATCTCTGCACACACAATTTGTTGGGAGTTCTCTTAGTGTGTGTGTTGATTAGACACTACTGTGATTTTGTATTGAAATGCAGTTGCCACCTCATGAACCAGAAGTGGTTAGAAAAGCAGTGAACCATTTCTTGCAGGTCTGCTTTCTAGATCTTTTCATTTGGAAATGTGAAAGGAAGCTGGGTTTTTTTTTTTTGGGTATCACATTGGTATAAATTGTATGTTGACTATTCCTTTTCCTTCTATCCTATGTACAGAGAGAAGGAGATATCATGGTCACTGATGTTAGATGTGTTCCAGCAGATTTTCATTCAAGATTTAAGGCACAAGAACGCACGTAGGTATTGCAAAAACAAGGTCTTGCTTCAGATATTTCATGCTTCCAAATTCTTGGATTAGTTGACAAATATACATTTCCGTTGCAAGAAATATTGCAGAGCTTCCATGTTGTGACTTAAAGTTGTAAACTTGCTGCTTCAATCGTAAGTCTTGAGCTGAATTACATTGTGCATGAAAATTCTTTAGGTACTTCTACCGTTTGTTATCTGGACCAGATCTTTTATCTGCCTTTGAGAAAGACCGTGCCTGGCATATACCTGAGCAGCTTAATCTTCTCGCAATGAAAGTGAGTTTCATAATTTCAGGATGATTGGATTCATCGGGAACGTAATTGATTTAAAAATGGGTTTTTGTTTTTGTTCTTCTTTTTGCAGGAAGCATGCAATGTTCTTGTTGGCCATCACGATTTCAGCTCCTTTAGGGCGTCTGGTTGCCAGGTTTACCTCCTCCCATTAAGGGATTATTTTTCATCTTGTTTTCCGCTTGAATATATTTTTCCCCTAGCTCTGTCTCTCTCCAAACTGTGGTCAGAACAATTAATTATCTTGGTTTACGAAAGTTCTATGTTTCTGGCTCTCTCCAAACGGTGGTAAGAATATTTAATTATCTTGGTTTGTGGAATCTTATTTTCTATTGGTGATCCAACCCTGATCATCTGGAGGTTTTGTATCATGTGTCTTGTAGGCAAAATCACCAATAAGAACACTAGATGAACTTAGTATTACTGAGGTGGTTCCAACTCCCTGCTTCCCTTCTATCATGGAAAGAGAACACAACAGTGCACACGGGGAAGATGCTTCAAACAATGATAAGGTTGGGGTTCCCAGTTTCGAAGCTGGTTCAGTATTTGGGATTAGGAAGAGACATCGTTGCTATGTAATAGCAGCACGTGGTCGTTCTTTTCTTTATCACCAGGTTGGCATTTTTAGCTACTGTAACTTTGTGTTTTCACGGTCGGAGATTTGTTTTTAGATTATTAGTTGTAGTAGTTTCCCCTGATATTGATGTGCATGGATGTTTGTTTTTATAATCACTGATCTTGGTCTCTAAAAACATTCTCTTGTAACTCAAAATGTGACCAAGTTAAGTTAAATGCTTTCAGGTCAGACTTCTAGTTGGAGTTCTCAAATGTGTGGGCACGGGAGAAATTACAGTATCCGATGGTATGATGTTCTTCCGTCTCTTACCATGCGTCTAAAGATGTTTTCTTGTAAAGCTCTTTGTGTCAATCCTTGTTTATGCGGCTCATTTTGTTGAAATCACGAATCGTGACTCGTTTTGGTGAAATCGCGAACTGATGTTGGCAGTGAGAAGAATACTGGATGCAAAAACTGTGACTGCTGCAAGGGCCATGGCTCCTGCATGTGGTCTCTACCTTGGACAAGTCAAGTACGATCTGCCTCGTTGACACCTGAAGTTCTAAACCAATGAAGTTTATTTCTCTTAAAAAGTTAAGCTTAAGACCCTGAATGTTGGTACCATCCCCTATTGTGTTTACAACCCAGGCAAAAATGTATCCTCGCGATTATTGAGAAATGGGTTCCACTTATGTCTGCCTTTTAGTCTTCTCCTAAGTTGGTTGATGAGATACCAGCAACCTTTTTGTTTGCTTACAATGTATACAGTTAATTTTTTGTGGTAATTTGTTTATGCTTATGTTTAATCCAAAAAAATGTTCTGTAGGATCTACATTATCATTCCGAAGTAGATTCCAAAACAAATTCGAGACACAAATGCACATCAACAAAATAGAAAATCCTACAAATAAGTTCCCATTTGGATTCAAAGTCTCACAGTAAATTTTAGGCTAAGCATTGAGAAATGAGCATATACCAATTCGTTTACAGATATTGCTCATTCTTGTTTAAGTAAATCAAACCATCGTCACTAACTCCACATTACAAAGATCTCTACTATTTACAGACAGCAAGTTTCTTCAGCACCAATTTACCTACCAACATTGTTTCATACGAATTGTTCATCTACTGAAGCTATGCAAAAAAAAAAAAAAAATTGTTCTCAAACAAACTATCCTCGGTTATCAGAACTTCCTCCCCTGCGAATGACATGGATGAACAATGCCAAACCAAGGCAACAAGTGGATTGCCTCGGAAGCTGCATGTACGCGGACAATGCCAATGCATAATCCATCTACTTCATAAGTGTCTCTATAGCCCTGTGAAGAGAACTGACTCGAGCAGGAGTAGGATCCTGCTGAGCAAACAGCGAATGAGGTCCGTTCCACATTGACCTTCGCTTTTCTGGGAAGAGCTTTGTGCACAGGTCCAAGAGTATGGGATCTTCTGGACGAAACTTATCAAACATTCCTGCCTTCTGGCTATCGACCAACTGCTGCAACCAACAGTAAGAGACGATAAAAGTCACTACCTTTTGCTTCACAACATACTAGGCAAAATGATAGTGGCATGCTGGAACTTGAGCAGAAACCTGTGTACCTTATGAGTGTTTTGTTTAACTGCCATGCTTCCTTCATGTTGCACTGCTACTTCTTGGTCATTCTCAGCAACATCAACTGCACCATCTGGATTTTCTGGAACTTGAGGATCGAGTTGTCCGCTCATGTCCTCATCTCCTGACTTCTCAGCCAACTGTGAGTTCTGCAATGCTTCGTTGCTGCCTTCTGGTCGATCGTGTATCTCTTCTTCCTCCTCTTCTCCTTCATCCACGTCCATTTCATCGTTTGACTTCCTGTCAGGAGAATTGGTTTGCTTTTCACTCTCTTCCAATTTAGTCTCTTCTGCTTTTCCTTCCACCTCAGCGTCTGTGCCTAGGTCTTGTGAGTTATCATCCATGTTTGATGAAGAATCTTCTCCACCATGGCTTTCCACGGGTGATGAAGCTCCCTTTGAAGAAAAAATAAGCAGAACAGTAAGCTCAATATTATTCAGTTTGACTTACACGTTTAATCATTTCATAATTTTGAGACCTCCACCCTAATATTTGTTCCTAGTTGACAAGTTCTCCACTTAACTTCCTATCTGTTGAATCAATTTCATATCCTACTCCTATAAGTATATAATTTAATAAATTCCTGTCCTGCTCTATGAGGTGAAAAAACAATCACACGAACCCTCACTTCGATTTATCTTTTATCATAATTTTCTTAGCGCTGGTGAGCAATTGGAGGGTATGGAGATGCGAGCTAGGTGTCCCAATGTAGTCAGTTTGGGGTTGTATAGACTATAAGACAACACAAATAAGAACATTATACTACTAATAATCATTAGTTCCATATATCCAAAGTGCACCTCTTGTTTGGTCTCTGGAGTGACTCCTTCATCAGCAGACTGGCCATTGGCCTGCCGAGCATTCTCCTCACGCTCCTTTCTACGCCGCTGTAGAACACATACAGCACATAAGCAATCTGATTTGTGGCGCCTTCTGAAATTACAACCAAAATCCAGAAATAAGATGTCAAGACCTACTTGCAGGGATGTGAGGCTACAATAACTAAAAGACAGATATCGGTACGGAAGGAAAACCACATCCATAAATCGTGCAACCTAGAATAATTCATTTAGCGTGCTATAGATATTTGGATGAGCGACCAAATATTCGAAGTGGACTGAGGAAAATATTTGTGAAGAGAATCAAACAACCAAAAGAAATAGTCGAACAGCAAGTCTCAGCCAAACCAATCATATGTTCCAATCTCATATCAATTTTGCTACTACAGCAGTTACATATTGTAATTGAAGGCAGAAGGGCGACTTATCTGAACAGGGCTACAAGTGTGCATCTAGAAGCTGAGGAAAAGGGTCGTAAACTAGAGAACTGATTTACCAGGGAAAACACACATACCCATGACGCTTTTTAGACTTCTGTTTCGGTTGGCTGGATTTCGCGCTTCCTTGGTTTGCAGCATTTGCTTCCTGGGCACCATCAGCACCTGACACAAGGGAGAAACATTGAGATTCAGATAAAAACAGATAGAAACTTCCGAATGTACTACCCTTGGGTTCGAAATAGACATACCATTCATGTTCTAATTGGGGACCACCACAAAAAAGAACATTAACTGAATCTGTTGCCAAAGAATATACACTTACCACTGGTTCCTCCTGATTGTCCTGTATACAAGCCTGCTGCTGACCAATATTTCATAAAGTTCTTCTTCACTCGCCTCATAAGGTCCAAGATATAGTCACCTTTATTGTTGTACTTGTAACAGTTTCCCCAAATGTACTGCACATCCTTGTAGACATCCTCTGAGTTCATATACTTGCCACCCTTTTCAATATTGCTGCATATAGTTCCGAAGTCCATAGGTGTATCTATGATGTCAAAGTAGTCCTGATTACAGACAACATCAGATGCCAGAAAACGGGATAGCATGAGAACACCATGGTGGGTAGTAGGGAGCAAAACAGAAAAGTAAAGAGCAACAAGGGAGCTTTGTACGGAGTCAAAATATTCATCCCGTACAGATCACTACTGCTCATGGCCAATACTGAAGTTGAGACTCAAGAGAGCATCATAAACATTTACTACAAGAACAAGCTGCTAATCAGGGCAGACTAACCGAGGCATAGCAAACGTTATGCATAGAAAAAAGGATAAGGATACAGTATGCTAGACGAAAAAGCTATTGGTACTTCGCTAAAATCGAGTTTTAGATCAACAGCAGCCCATACCAAAGAGAGCAAGATCTAGGATTATTAAAGCAATCCCGTTTCAAAAGAACATGCAATTCCCGTTTGACAGAAACAGACTATGCACAAAGTATCTTCTATCCTAGACCAAAATGCAAGTCCCAATGCCTGGAATAGAAAGGCCGTGAAAGAGAAGGATAGATGGAAATCTTCCTAAGCATACGTTTTACTTACAGGTATTCCCAGTGCTTCAGGATTCACAGGGGCATTGAAAGGAAGGGCTGCATCCATTTTCATTATCTTCCTGATAACCTAAACCCGAGAACAAAGACATCAGTACACTAATCAGTGAGACCTCAATACAGCTTAAACTCTATATAGATATGCAACAAAAAAAAAAAACTTCCGAACTCACTATCAAGGCAGACCCTAACTCTTCCTTATCATATTGAGACACCTGAGCAGGAGGCTTATGTGCCTTCAACACACTGTCCTTTGATGCCACAATATCACCATCCACAACCTTCGAAGTTTTTATCTTTATACTCCCTGGTTTCTTTGCCACATTCCCAGAACCGCTCATTTTCGAGTCAGGCACTGAGCTGCCACTGTCTTCCCTCTTATCACTGGCTGCACCTTGTTTCTGTGATCCCAATGGAGGACTGCTTCTATCAGTATCAGTAGGTGACTCCAAAGCCTTGGAACTCTTGAGCTTGACCTTAACATGCCTAACTGACAACTTCCCAGAACTTTCTTTATCAACTGAACTACTGGGCTTGGCATTTGCCGCCTTCAGAGGCTGGTCCGTCCCTGTGGAAGAAGGCGTATCAACCTCCATCCCAGATTCACACTCTGCACCCTTGTCTTCGTTGGTGCTATTCTTACTCTGATTCTCCTCGCCCGCACCCGAACTATCTTCTCTGCTCTCGCTCGCTACACTAACAACCGCAGCTTCATCTTTGGATGCAGATGCAGATGCAGATGCAGCTTTTGATTTACCCTTCTTGCTTCTCTTCCTCTTCATTGCACTGACAAGAACAACATGAAAATAAATCGAATCTTTAAGCTCTGCGCCACACTAGAACAAAGAGACCAAAAACCAAAATAAAAACGGAATAACACATGGAATCCGGACAAACCCAGAACATGAAACCGCTCATTCTGTCATCAATCAATCCCCAGAAGTACAATGTCATCAAAAGACGGAAATCCAGAAGATGGAACCAAGCGGAGAACTCTCCCCCACTGGTTTAATTCTAACATCCCCGTTAAAAAGATTGCTTTGCGCGCGCTACTTTCACTAGCAAAAAGTTCACTACGAATAAATGATGTGAAATTGGGCTACCTGTTCCGAATTCTTGGCTCGGCAGAGTTTACCAGCGACGAATCCTACGGGCCGGCGCCGGAAGATGCGAGAGGATTTTGAAAACGCAGCGTTTGCTCTTCTCAAGCTCCGGACTTTCGGTGTCACCGATCAACGATCTACGGTTCCTTCTTCCTTTTTAAAAATTTTGAGGGGGAAGTTTGAAATTTCGAAGTGTTTGTATTGAATTGCACTTCGATTTTGGATATTCTTTGCCGAACCAAAACCCTAATCAATAATTAAAGAAAAGGGGGAGAAAGGGGGAAAAGAAAACAGAAAAAGAAATGGGCGGACTCAGATGTAAAATGGGCCCATGGTGAAGAAGTCTGAAGCAGCCGGCCCATATTGTTTCTATTAGCATAGCCAAACCCAAATGCATCAAGGTTGACTTTTTTTTTTGTCAAAGATCAAGGTTTACTTTTTTTTTTGTCAAAGATCAAGGTTGACTTGACTTCTCAAGGATTTATTTTCGAAGGAGCCATCGAGTGGATGGTTTGATAACCATGTTAGTTAGCTTAGGATACATATTCTAGAAAATCCATACAAAAGTAAACATCTTGGATGACCATAAAAACTATCAATAATCTTAATGTTGGTATCATATTCTCTTTGGAAGACGAAGAATGGACATTTTTACAGAACCGAGAGTTACCACTGCAACCTATGAATATTGATAAAAAAAAAAAGTTGATTTGCTTGTTAGGAACGAACAATGAAAAGATCTCATGATTAGAAGTTGCCTCCCTAAGATGTGTTATATATTTGAACAGATCACTGCTTGCCAACACTTGTATTGTATGTAATATGGGTTCATGTGCTCCGCCACTCGTACAAAGTCGAGGAACGTCGTTGGGGAAGGTTTACATCAAACATAAAAAATATTGGACTTAGCTACAACCTGCTAAGCAATATAGTTGCTTCGAAACACAAAGTTAGAAGATCAAAACCAAAACTCTTTTGAATAAAAGGACAGGAGATCAAAAAGATAGGAGGATAACTTGATTATTAAGTATAAGTCGAATGTTACTATATACTTGACTACTTATAAATATTAGAAATTGTGACTTCGTGGACGAGTAGAAGGAGATGTGGCCTAAGTAGGTAAAACAAAAGGTAGGCGTATGGGCATCAAGATTACCATCTTTTCATAAGTTAAGCCTCACTTTCTTTTTGACCTTTTGTAGCAAGTAGTAAAACAAGCAACTTCCCTGCGTAATTACCAAATCCACCTTCGTTGCAAGTTGATCACCAATCATCATATAACAATAGTAGTCCTCCAAAGTCACCCCGGCCGCCCACCACCTAACTTCGCCAAATTTAAAACTTAAAAAGTCTATCAAATAAAAAACTCGATTTAATCAATAAGTACGTAGTCCAAATTAACCGCGGAAAGAAGAGGAATTGTACACTACGCAGTAGGTAGAGAACACATGATGAAGTCACATATAATAGATTATATGTAGAAAAAATCGAGTATTATTATATGTGCCCGCAAACCCTTCCACCATCTCACAATTAACTACAAAAACCAATTAATTAACCAGGCAAATCGGATTAAACAACTAATCCTTCATTATAAACGCAGCCAACCAGCCAGCCAATAAACGAAGCCACATGTGAAGGTCTCATTTGGTAGCCACCGCCGAGGCGGCGGCGGCCGTGACAGGGTAGCCAATCCCGTGCCGCCGCGTGGGGAAAACGACGAACAACAAGCTACACATCACCCCGATCCCAACCGGAACAGTGCCCAGAACCGCCTTCACCTCGCGCCCGGGAACCGGGTAGAAACAGCTGACCACGTTCCTATCCCGCATCGCCACCGAGACGAAAACCAAACCGGACAGAACCGCGTGGACCCAGTCCACGAACCGGATCCTGTACCGGCCCAGCGCCTCCTCGGTCAGACCGCAGCCCTCCGGGTTCGGGCAGTCGAACAGGAACATCCCCTTCCACGTGGCGAAACCGTAGTACACCTTCTTCTTCTTCTCCCCTGCAGCAGCCTCCTCCTCGACGGCGACGGAGTCGGTGAAGGAGGCGAGGAGGCAGGAGGCGGCGAGGAGGGCGAGGAGGAGGAGGGTGAGGGGACGCGTGGCGGCGTCGCAGGAGCCGCCGTTGGTGAAGATCGGAGTCAGGAGCTGGAATGCTAGGAGGGTTCCTGTGGGGAGGAGGTTAGCCAGGTTGGCGGTTGTGGTTAGGGTCTGGGAGATGGCTCTTTGGGAAAGGCTCTGCTGCGGTGCCGCCGGCGGCGGTGGGACGACGACGGCGGCGGTGGCGGGTTCATCGGTGTCGTGGTCGTTGGTTGGTTGCTGCCGTTGCTTGGCGGAGGATGTGGGTCTTGGTCTTAAGGTCGATGACATTTTTTTTCTTCTGATGCGTTTGGTGATGGGGAAATGGGAATGGGGAATTCAGGGGATGGTGATGTTACGTATATATATACGTGAAGAAAGCTTTGGGGGAAATTATTGCGTGTGGGGAATATAGATATAATAATAATAGTTTTGATGGATACAGCAAAGCATGTGGGAATTACACAGAAATAATGGCCACTTGTGTTAATATAATTGTGATGAGTATATATATGTACTAGCTAGCTAGGGTGTATGTTACTTGTCTTGTAAGGTGTAACATGTATGGGATGGGAAGTTTTTTAGTTGATACGTTCAAGTTATGTGTCCATGGGATTGGGCCAACTATTTCAATATTATGACGAGACCACACAATCATGAATCATTGTTGTATCTATTGGTTTGAAATTATATCATATACCTTGTGTTAGTATTGGAAATCGTGGAGATTTGAACACTTGGTAAACACCAATATAATGAAGGCTGGTATTCGGTTGCTTTCTTGAGATCTCGGATTGGTCTGTGATTGCTTTAATTCCACATGAGATGAGACAACACAATCATCAATAATCATACTCACGAACTTGAAGTTTACAAATGTGCATTATACCTTTTTGTTAATATTGGAGGGTCTTGGAGAGATTCGAATGCATAACCACTTGATAAAACCAACGTAACGATAACCCGTCTTTCTCATGCTTGTGTCGAATCTTGACTGATTCGAGATATTTGTAATCTGTATAACTTTTTTTTTTTGCAGTTTATCTCGATCGTAATGATCTTATGAAATTTGTAATGCATTGTCGTGTTTTTATCAATAGATTCAATGAAATAAGATGTTGATATTGGAAATGACAACTAAAACACGAAGAATATACGAGACAAACTTGAGAATACCTTTTTGTCTGACATGGTATAAATACTTTTATTATTGTTAGAGATTTACCTCGTGAAAAGTAAAGCTATATTAAATTTCCCGCGTAAATCAAACAGATCACATGTGCTCCAAAATTAAATTCAAAATTATGTGTTTATTTAGAAATATTTGAATGTGATCATTTTATTTTACATGACATAACATTTTTCTTTGATTTAGTTTCAAACAAATTGTAGATCTATCAACCCGTAGAATTTGACTCAAGAGTTGGAATAAATAATTTCTTGGTGAACCATAGAAAAATTGCAAAAACAATAAAAAGGCCAGATGGAAAATTCATTCCTCATCAGGAATGGAAGAAACTGCTCGAGATAAAGAAAATCCACAGAAATCGGCTTGGAAACACCGCCGTTTCGATACGACCTATGGCGTTTTGCGACGGAGGCCTTGTCGTTTAGGCCGACGTGGATCTGATGCAGCAAGAACCCCGTGGGGCCGTGGGGGAAAAGTAAGGCCCGAGCCGAGCGTATGAGATTCGTTAAAATACACAGATAGAAACAAAACGAAAAAAAGAAAAGAAAAAGAGAAAAGGGAAAGGCAAAGGGGAAAAATAGAATACCGGACGAGAGAGATCGGAGAGAGAGGGTAGCGGAGAGAACGACTGTCACCGCCGCGTCGCGGCAGAAGGGAGAAGAGATTGCGCAGACAGGGACTGCGGGACGCTTGTTCAGACGCCTTCATCGCCCGCCGTTGCTTTTTCCGGTCGCCTTCGTTTTCGTCCGCCGGCGCTCAATCGTCGTTTAGGGGGAAATCGAGAGGAGAAGAGTCGGGGAGAGGCATTTCCGCCACTGTTTCTTCGTCGTTGCCGCCACCGAATTCATCGTCTCCACACCGTTTCTTTCGCTAATCGACGAACAGCTGCGACTCCAAGAGAGAGAGAGAGGGAGAGAGAGAGTCCTAAAGAAACTGTAACGCTGTTGAAGCTCCCGAAAGCAGCTGAATCTTTCCACCACGTCTGTTTCCTATCAGCTCTAGGTATAATTCTGTACTTCTTCCTTTCCCCTGAAGATTGCTGCTTAGAGCAGGGCCTATCTTGAATCTTATGGTTTTTACTTTTTGCTGGATTGGATAAAAAGTTTTTGATTCCGTTTTGAGTGAGGTAACTGTGAGAAGTTGGAGTGAGGGACCGAAGCAACGAATGTCTCTAACAGTTACGCTAGGATTTGTGTTCAGCGGAGAACTAGGTGCGGGTTATTATTGGCTTGATTGGTGCAACTGTGAACGAGCTGCTGGTTGTTTATCATTGCTAAACCTGATTGTGGTTGTTTGATGTGCCGTTGTGCTTACACTGGAGCTAATCTCGGGGGAATATCTTCTCCTTGTTATGCTTTGTTGATGGAACTTGGACGTGGAAGCTAGTAGAATCCACTAGTTCGAATGTTATATTGTTACTGCTGGTTATTACATTAGTTTCCTCTTCTTTCAATTGTTATTTCCTATGTTTGGACAGGAACATGGATGGATCTACTCATCGAGGCAGTAGTAATGTGGATATGTTCTTATCCAATTACAAGCTTGGTAAAACTCTTGGAATCGGTTCCTTTGGTAAGGTGAAAATTGCGGAGCATGCATTGACTGGGCACAAAGTTGCCATCAAGATACTTAATCGCCGCAAGATTAAAAATATGGAGATGGAAGAGAAAGGTACGGTTTTGCATGGAACTTTCTGGAAATGAATAACCTGTGGCGAAATTGTTGTATCTAATGGATATGTAGAAATTTTGTTTTGTCAAGTGGTTACTTTCTGTTTATCAACTTTCTTCCTCTGCACTTGGGTTCTGTATTTTGCATCATGATTTACACCTTTCCATGATGTTTGTGAAAGAATCTTAAGGAGGACTTGGTCAGTTAAGCTTTCAATATGGTTATCACACTGTTTCGTTTAGCATTCTGTAGCTGTTTGTCTGCTGTTCCGTTTGGCGTGAGAATTTTCCCCATATTATGCCTTCTCCTGTTCTATATTTTTTGTGTATGGATTGGGCCTTACATGTTTATGTTTCATTTCTTTCCAGTGAGAAGAGAAATCAAAATCTTGAGATTATTTATGCATCCCCATATCATTCGTCTATATGAGGTTATTGAAACACCGACTGATATATACGTTGTTATGGAGTATGTTAAATCTGGGGAACTGTTTGATTATATTGTGGAGAAAGGAAGGTTACAGGAAGATGAGGCGCGCAACTTTTTCCAGCAGGTAGAATTGCCTGTAGTATGTAATTGATTCCTTCATAGCACGTTCACTTTTCATCATAAGCTTACTGATTTTGTATTGAATGCAGATAATTTCTGGTGTGGAATACTGCCACAGGAATATGGTTGTTCACAGAGACCTTAAGCCTGAGAATTTGCTACTGGATTCTAAATGCAATGTCAAGATTGCTGATTTTGGGCTGAGCAATATAATGAGAGATGGCCACTTTCTGAAGACAAGCTGTGGAAGCCCAAACTATGCAGCCCCAGAGGTAAACTTGCAATAACTTTAGACTCTAGCTTATAGTTTCATGTGCTCTTTGTAATTTAGGCCTACTCCTGAATGCTCTGCCTTCCTGCAAGTAGAAATTAATTGCACTTTTCTCATGTGGTGATTCGATTTTGAAGATCTTTCCTCTTTTGCTTTTTTAGGTCATCTCTGGGAAATTGTATGCTGGCCCTGAAGTGGACGTGTGGAGTTGTGGTGTTATATTGTATGCTCTTCTTTGTGGTACTCTTCCATTTGATGATGAAAACATTCCCAATCTTTTTAAGAAAATAAAGGTATGAGAAATTTAATTATGCTCACTGCTTAACATGATAACTTTCTAGGCGGTACTTCTCTCAAAAAGTCCTTCTGATTGTTGGCATAGAAGAAAGCCTTATTTCAGATAATGATAAATGTGTCAATGTTATTCTTTTGAATATGTAGGATTTCTGGACTTCTTACAGTTTCTCCATTTGTATGGAAGTGATTTGCTTTGTTTGTTGGACGAAAGAATATAAACAAGCCCCAGGCATAGATTCGTACCCTTCTGTTATACTCTGTTACTAAACCTTTTTCCTGAACTAGCGGTGATCTTCTGACGTAAGCAAATTATTCTGTTTTTTAAATGGAAGAAAACACTGTATGTCATAGTTTCAACGTTTTTGGGAACGCAAGGTCATTTTTGGTTCTTAGTATCTGTCCAATTTTTAAATATAATAGGAAACTTCAACGCTGACGTCGCACCTGAATAGCCTTAACTTCCCCAGCTTATAGTGTGGTTGACTCTAGTGCTATCTTGGGTCACAATGTCGACTTTAATGTGGGATTACAGGGTTACCCAGTTCACTTATGGGTGCTGTAACCATGATAAGCCTATCTTTTGCTTTCATACACATTATGGTTCCTTCTCTTTATGCATTATGTTTGTGATGATCAATTTAATAGAGCAGGCAGGTTTATGAGTCTCGTTTGTGCACAAATGGATTCAGTTGAGTTTTTGTTTTTAGGGAGGGATCTACACTCTTCCTAGTCATTTATCACCTGGCGCAAGAGATCTTATCCCTAGGATGCTAGTGGTTGATCCGATGAAGCGAATGACTATTCCTGAAATTCGTCAGCACCCGTGGTTCCAAGCTCGTCTCCCACGTTATTTGGCTGTCCCTCCACCAGATACCATGCAACAAGCTAAAAAGGTTATTGTCTAAAAGAGCGTGAACTTGTTTGCGTATGTTTCTTGTTCTTTTTGTGAATTTTTTCCCACAAAGGAAATTGATCTATCCAGAAAATAAGCACCACATTTTCAAATTTTGACATGTTAGCATCTATTACTATTAGTATGTGAGTGTCCATGTGCTAGTACAATGAGGCACTTACATATTAAGCACACAGACTACCATTGGATCCCTTGCAAAATGGGTCTGCTGATATATAGACCGTAATGTTTTTTCAGAATTAAGTGTTCTTCTCTGTTCAGATAAGTTTCATATTCAAACAATGTAAAAAGTGATAGTTTGCGGGTTGGTACAATTGTCTAATTCTGTTGACAGCTTACATATCTGTTGTGCTGGCTATATGAGTTTTTTGTTGCATCATGGTTCAGTTGCCAAACCTTTGTTATTAACTATCCAGGTCATTTGAATGCCATTTTCCTCGCTGCAGATTGATGAGGAGATCCTACAGGAAGTAATTAAAATGGGATTTGACAGAAACCAACTTGTTGAATCTCTTCGCAGCAGAATACAAAATGAGGTATCAGTTCTTTTTCCTGTTAATATCTTCATGAATTAGTTTCCATGGACGTGATTGCTTAATAATGCATTTTCAGGGTACTGTGGCGTACTATTTGCTATTGGATAACAGGTTCCGAGTTTCTAATGGATATCTTGGAGCAGAGTTTCAAGAGACCATGGTATGGTTCCTTTTGCCAAGTTCATCAGAAAGATTTTGTTCTGTTTCTTTGGGAGGCAGGGGGGGTCAGTTAGTGAGGTTGTAGTTTTTAATTGCTTGTTTTGATTATGCGGTGACTTGTTGGTCGATCCCTTTTGGGTTTTCGGAAGCATTATTATGAATTTCCATCTCTATGGATAGCTATGGTTTTGTATCTGCAATCTTATTATCTAGGTAAATCTTCTGCTTTTCATACGTAAGTTTTGTTAAGTGATGATTTATTTTCTTTCAGGAAATTGGTTACAACCGTATGCATCCTAGTGAACCTGTTTCTCCATCTGTTGGGCATCGCCCTGCTGGGTATATGGACTATCAAGGGATGGGCTTGAGGTCGCAATATCCTGTTGACAGGAAATGGGCACTTGGACTTCAGGTAAACCAGCAGTCCTGTCGACATATTTCCTATGCACTCGGGTGCTTGAAAACTATTGTGTCCCCTCTTCTCGTTTCTTTTCTTTTCACGTCCCATTTGTACGCGCTGACATATGGCTTCCCGAAGTCCCATGTTTGATCTTAATGCACTAAATTAACTATGTAGTTTGGGGTTTTGACAGTCTCGAGCCCATCCACGTGAAATAATGACGGAAGTTCTCAAAGCTTTGCAAGAACTGAACGTCGGCTGGAAGAAGATTGGTCACTACAACATGAAGTGCCGGTGGATCCCTGGTAGCCCCGGACACCATGAAGGCATGCTAAATGATTCTGGGCCCAACAATCACTTCTTTGGGGATGAATCTTCCATCATCGAGAACGACGGAGCTACCAAAGCACCAAACGTTGTGAAATTCGAAGTCCAGGTAACCATTATCCATCCAGTCTCCCTTCACTTCTCAAAACCCTCAATTTCATTATTTCAAACCCTGTTAAACAAACAATGTGGTTGATCATGGTGCTCTTTGCAGCTGTACAAAACACGGGAGGAAAAATACCTGCTGGATCTGCAGAGAGTACAGGGACCGCAGTTCCTGTTCTTGGACCTCTGTGCTGCTTTCCTCGCGCAGCTCCGCGTGCTTTAGCTTGCTTCGAGAAACAAAAATGAAAGAAGGCGGGGTTTCTTTTCTTCCGACGACCTGCCAACCAAAGGGGATGGATGTCTGTGTTTTGCATCGGCCGTGATCAAGACTTGTCCGCCGAGTGAAATGTGTATTGTACATAGCTCCTCACTTGGGTTTCCAGTCGTACCTATGTTTCTTCTGCTTTTTAAGCTTCTTTTCCATCATCCCCATTGGTATTTTTTTCCTTCATATGGGTAACTTTCTGAGTAGTGAAGCCAACAGATATCGTCAACTCTCGTAGTTGGCCAAGAAGAACTAGGCACTCTGTCCTGATTCCTTTTTATAACAGACAGACTGTAGCATTTGATCTCTCCATGCTAACTCATTTGGGGAATCTTCTTTCAATTTTCATAATTACTGTGTCTTGATGGACGAAAAGGTGAGACGTTATCGTTGTATGTCGTATGCTTCGTTCTAAAATACTAATCTACCCGTCCATCCCGAAATCCAAAACAGGGTGTGTCCTCATCGACCGATAACATGACATTCAATTGCAGTTGTGTTCTTTAGAAACTTTGGTGACTGACAAGAAAACAGTACGAAATGACATATAAATGAGCGGAAATGATAGACAAAATTTCGATCGGATCAAATCGAACTAAATGCAATGAATGATCGTCCTAGCAAGGGAATGTTCGGTTACGGCACAAGCTAATGCCATCCCGGGTTAACCTCAAGTCCATATGTCAGCTCTTGCTACAGTTGCTCGTATTCCGAGCTTCCGCTGCTGCCAAATCTTCTTTTCCCCTCGTCGAAGAATCGACTCTGCTATCGTCGTCGCTTTGCCGCAGTTGCTCAAGTGGTCGTTCGGAGCTGAATTCCATCGTAGCTCACAAGTCATGAGCTCTTCTTCTTTTTCTTCTAATGCTCGTTCCGGCAGAGGAGGGTATAGTTTCTTCTCTCTTCCTCCTAACTTCCCTCCCTGATTTCCCGCTTTATTTCTCCTCTGGTTTGATGGCGTTTTGCTGCAATTTCAGCGGAAGAGGTACGGGGATGAGAAGCGATAGGGAGAGATCGGGAGGACGCGGTCGTGGCGGTGGGAGAGGAGGCGGTTCTGAGAATGACAAAATTGATGCTCTTGGAAGACTGTTGTAAGAAGATCATCTGTTTCCCGGTTTTTCCATTGCTTCTGTACTCGCTATTCTTATCTGCAGTGTTTCTTTAAGAAAAGCTAGGCGTCTTTCTCGTTCCTCCTTTGGCAGGCTGTGTCTAATCCGTGGTTGGTTTGCTACTGAAATTCTAGGAGTGAATAGTTATGCAGTGGTGGTTTCTGTTGATGTTGTATCATTGATTTGTGAAGTTAATTTGCTTGGTCTTTTCTTGCATTCTGGTCTGTAAAAGTAATGGAGACAATGGAGGTAAGATGTTCATGAACATTGGTCTATTTCCAGGACACGCATTTTGCGTCATATGGCTTCTGAGCTGAGTTTGAATATGCGGAGTGATGGGTTCGTGAAAGTGCAGGATTTGCTTCAGTTGAACATGAAAACTTTTGCCAATGTTCCATTGAGATCGCACTCGGTTGATGATATCAGGGAGGTTGGTTCCTGAACTACTTTTTCAGTTCTTAGAATTCCTTGGAGAGCAAACTGTTTTTTAGAATTTCACGTCTCGCAAGCTTGAAGTAAGGGAAGCTCTATTTTCTCTTTGTTGTTCAATAACTGAGTGATGTGAAACTGCAGGCAGTCAGAAGGGATAACAAGCAACGATTCGGCCTCGTGGAGGAAAATGGAGAGCTCTTGATTCGTGCAAACCAAGGCCACACAGTGAAGGTGATCCCTTAATTTCAAAACCATCAAAATGGTGCTAAAAGGGAGTTATCCGGATTGCAACCTAATTATGATGTGCTGGAAATGCTTGATTCTTCTCTTTGTCATATTTCTGCAAGTGCTTAAACTGCATTCAGTATAAACACATACCAAGGACGATTGCCTTGGATTGCTGTAACAGCGTGTAGAAAACTGCTGGAATTCTGGCAAAGTAGTGAAAAACTGAAAATTAGTGTTTTGATGGTAGGGTGGAATAAGTACTGCCACATCAGTCGATGATAAGCTCTGGAAACTCCAAAAATTCTTAAGGAAAACTTATGTCCTGTATTTATTTATCGTGGCAGTGTTTTTCACTTTTCAGAAGTCATGGATTATCATTGCAAAACATCCATTTACATCTCTACTTGGCTTGACTTAGGTTCTGTTATGATGGTACAGGTAGTTGAATCTGAAAGTCTGTTGCAACCCATCCTTTCAGCTGATGAGCTAGCAGGTAAAGTTAATGATTTGGCAGTCTGTTGCTTGCCAATTCCAGCTCTTTTCATATATCTTACCGTAGTCCTTTTCATGTACGGTTTGGAGTGATTGGTTCTCGTCTATAATAGCAATCTGTGTGCATGGAACGTATAGAAAGAACCTGGAATCTATTCTGCAGTCTGGTTTAAAGCGCATGGAGAGACTGCATGTCCACTTCTCTTGCGGCTTGCCCACAGATGGTGAAGTAATTAGTGGTATGGCTGATACTACTTTCTGTTCATTGCTACATAACAGAACTCCGATTTAATTGCTGGAGCTAATAGTTTTAGCTCCATCCTTGGTTTTCCAGGGATGAGAAGGAACGTAAATGTGCTCATCTTCCTGAATGTAAAAAAGGCTCTGGAAGGTAAGGACTTGGGTGACAGCATTTTTTTATCTTCCTTGTTCTTACAAAATTACAATGCTGGTTAAAGCTGATATCTGCAGTTGTTATTGTGGTTCAGATGGAATGAAGCTGTATATATCAGAGAATAAGGTGATCTTGACTGAAGGTTTCGATGGTGTTGTCCCGGTGAAGTACTTCGAGAAAATTGAATCATGGCCAGCTCGACAATCTATCCCCATTCCAAACCTGAGCCAAAGCTAACTGATCTGAGAAGGGCTTGATGCCCCCCTTTGCAACAAATGAACCACCCCTGCCCTGTACTTTCTGTAACCCAGGAAGAACTAGACACTTTCTCCTGCTGGTTCCTTTTATAGCATACCGACTCTAGCATTTGATCTCTCCATTGCTAACTCATTAGGGCAACTTTGTTTTATACTCATTAATGTGTCTTGATGAATGAATTAACCAGACGTTATCGTCATATCTCATATGTTTCGTTAACGAAACAACTAGTCTACGGTTCATCCCGAAATCCAAACCAGGATGTGCTCTTCAACAGATGGCATGACAGTCCGATTGCAGGTTTGTTCTTTTGCAATTGTGGTGAATGATCGAGAAAATAATATTAAACGACACATTATTGACTATTGAGTGCATATTAATTGTAATTGTTACATGTGTGGTTTTTTTGTTCAACATATTCCGGATCGAAACGAAAGAGACGAAAATAGTCAGAGTACTTCTTACATCCACCGTAACTCAATCAATGTTTCGTATCTGATTAGATCAGTAGCATCGGAATTTACTAATTTAGGATACACGGCACAAACGATTCCACAACAGAATGGAGGCCCACATAGACAATCGAAACAGGCTCTGGACCACAAAGAAACAAAAGAAGGCTCCCCTCGACAAAATTTCGGCCCACTGGATGGGCCCACCATCAATGGACTCGTCCAGGTCCAACTCTCCACTATCATTTTTTTTTTTTTTTTTTCAATTTCTGTTGACTCCTGCTTGCTTCTGCAGTGCTGCTTCCTTTTCTGCTCCTAACCAGACGCCTCTCTGTGATTCTGAAGGCCAAGTCTCTGCGTATCATGATCCTCCCGTTTCAAAAATTCATTCAGGCAATCACAGCTCCTTGATTACCAACTGGCAGCCCCAACAATGTCGATGTCTCTCCATCTCACTAGATTCACCCTACTTCACCACAGAAGTTCCTACTCCAGCTCCAGCATTTCACTTCCCAAACCCACGAGCTTCCGCTTTCCTCCATCTCCAAGGTCTCTTGTAACCGGGAAGTTTGATTCCAGGGCGAGAGCAGTTCATGGGGAATCCGGAGAGCATCTGGTTGCCGCTGCTGCTGATCCATCGAAGAAACCCAGATGGGAAAATGTGCTGGCCACTGCTGCAAGCTTGTACCCTCTGTATGTCGCCGCTGGAGGGGTTGTGGCGTGTGTGAAACCATCCGCTTTCACTTGGTTCGTCGGCATGGCTCCCAATTCTTACAGCTTGTCTCTTGCGCTCATCATGTTATCCATGGGCATTACTCTGGAGCTTAAGGACCTGTTGCGCTTGTTTATGCAGAGACCTCTCTCCGTGAGTTTTTCTTGTTCGCCATTTTGTTCTTGAAATGCATAGTGGCAATTCTGAGCTGCTATGATTTGCTGAGAATCAGTTAGTTCACTACATGGGATTATTACCTGCTTTGAGTTTCCTGGTTGAGTGGAGTTTGTGAATCTGTGTTTTCCTTCAGATCCTATTTGGATGCGCTGCTCAGTATACAATCATGCCAGCTTTTGCATTAATTGTCAGCAAATGCTTGGGGCTTTCCCCTTCTCTATCAGTAGGATTGATATTGCTTGGATGTTGCCCTGGGGGAACTGCTTCCAATGTGGTGATTGCTTCCTTTCCTCACCTTATATCCTTCTGTCAATTTAAGGGGTTCTCAATACATTCTCTTATGGAATTCACATTCTCTTGTTTCTGCTCTTAGTTCATCATTCAACCACTGTTAAGGTCATTTAGATAATTTATATTATGCTTATGGTAGCCATAATACCCCTTTATCAAGCTATCTATTTGAGATGTGCAGTGGGTAGCACCTTCTGGCCTTAATAGTAGTAGCATTAGGATGCTGCAGTATGTGATGTATATCAATTCAATCCTTTTTCTTCTTCTGAATTAGTGTTACAGGTGACCTTAATCGCACAAGGGGATGTTGCACTATCTGTTGTAATGACCGTATGCACTACTCTTGGTGCAGTGCTACTCACTCCACTCTTGACCAAGATTCTTGTGGGAGCTGTTGTCCCTGTGGACGCTGTTAAACTATCTATCAGCACTTTACAGGTAGGGTTCATTCTCGACCTTAACTCGGGTACCATAGTGATAAACTATAAACAAAGCCTTCATTCTTTTTACTGGGTTTTTTATTTTAATTTTGTCAAAGATATTCTCAAAAGGGAACAGCTAGATACGGATTGGAAGCTTTTACTGATTGTTTACACTATCCTTGTTTTCTCAGGTGGTTGTTGCTCCAATTGTGCTAGGTTCATACCTACAGAGTGCATTTCCAGCAGTGGTGAAAATTCTGACACCTTGTGCGCCACTATTTGCGGTCTTAACATCATCTCTACTTGCATGCAGGTTTTACCCTTCTGAACTCTGACCTAGTTTCTCTTGTGTTTTTGTTTTATCTGATTTATCCTGATTGTCTCTGATATTACCTCTCTTTTTTTTTTTTTTGTGCGGTTTATCCTCTCTTTCCTTTTCTCTAGTGTGTTCTCTGAAAATCTTGTTCGCCTTAAATCCTCAATGATTGGAGTTTCATTGCCACCTGATGCATCCTTCATTGTCCGCTGCCAATCAGCACTTTCTGGAGACCTGGCTACCATTGTGCTCTCAGTGTTCTTGTTGCATTTGGCTGGGTTTTTTGTGGGGTAAGTGGTGTTCCATGTTGTTACTAGTAAAATAGTAATGAAACCAAATTCTTCACCTTTTTCATGACATTTCTAGAGATTGTACGAGTACTTCAAGTGCTAAACACACCATGTTTATATCTTTCTGAAATTAGCCCGAAACAATGATAATACCTGTAGTTCCTGTGGTGTTGGGGGGAGACCTATTTGCATATCCACTGTTTTCTTGGGGGTAATAACTAAGATGAAACCTTCCCAACTAAAGCTTGTCAAGTGTAAGCAGACGTGAATGTTCTGTTCATTTTCTGCAGGTATTTATCTGCGGCCATTGGAGGGTTTAAAGAACAACAAAGGCGGGCAATAGCAATCGAGGTAAGCTAAGACACTCACATCGATGGATTGAAAGAAAAAAAAAACTCATGTAATAATTTCTAGATTTGAAATATGATATCACATATCAACAATCATGACCATGGTGATTGAGAGAATCGAGGAAGTTCGATTCCAGGATGAATGTTAAGCCAATGCTCTATGTGCTGTATAACTTCTTCATTCGAATTCTGAAGCTTAGCCGTCGATTTGCCTGCAGGTTGGAATGCAAAATTCTTCCCTTGGTGTTGTCCTAGCCACAGCTCATTTCACTTCATCAATGGTGGCATTACCACCGGCAGTATCCGCCGTGGTCATGAACATTATGGGTAGCAGCCTCGGCTTCATCTGGAGACACATGGACCCTTCTTCTGGTGCTGGGAATCAACTCACAGAAGGGCAGGTACCAAAATGATGAAGGTGACAGAAATTTTCTGGAACCAAATATGAAGATAAATGTCAGATCAATCATAAGGGCGATGAATCTTATTTTGGTTTCAGAAATGTGTAACTGAATTCTGATGCAACTCAATGTGGAGCATGTCGTATTCTTTCCAGTTTAAGAAACGCTTTGGACCTACACCTACTGATTTGTATTGTTCACTGTGGTTTCATTCCATTGATGGAATCTTGTTGATAATCATATAATAAATATCGTAAATATGCATTAGGGTGCATGCTAAGTCAGCGCCAAGGAAGTGGTCCGTCGATGATGTCTTTGTTGTCATCTCCCTGGGTGAATGAATCAACAATGCTGGTCGAACATCGGCATTAGGCATCAGCTTTAGCAGCTTGACCAGACGAAACAACGACGAAGAAGAAGGTGGTTGCACCGCAGCACCTCTGGCTTTGTGCTCCAAGTTACCAAAGTGGAGGCTCCATTGAAATGGAGAGAGAGCTAGAGGAGCAAATATTATGAGCCTAGCCACTAAATGGAAACCTGCATGCCCACAAAGCTACTAGATAAGTGAAAGCCAGCTAACCTAACCGCACTTTTGCTTAGTTAATTAATCTCTTGTTTTTAATGTGATCATTGTATATGTTTTAGTACAGTACTTCGCTTCTTCCATTCCTTCTTATTACACTTTGATTACTACCTGATAACCTTGATGCTGACAGTTTAACATGGAGATTACCATATACTTCTACCACACTAACTATAATAAAGCTTCTTTCTTTATGTAACTAGCTACCAAGTGGTCACTAAAGCAGCGTAGGGTGACACTTTCGGCCATTAACCAAGAGTTATTAAGGTGACACAAACCCATTGATCATCTGCATATTCCCCCTCTCAAACAGTCTGGTTTTGTACTCATGGAGCAAACCACTACAGCAGAGCAAGTCATTCTCACCGTGGACGTAGACCACCATGGCTATCAGCACCATGATCCAGCTGCCTCGCCGAGACTTCCCAACAATGTCAAAACCTTCCACCGTATCAACTTCTCCAAGCCCAGATCCCGCTTCTCCGAACCAATCTCCAATACTGCTAACAGCAACTATACTACTCACCCTTGCTCCTCAGACGAAGAATCCGACGAAGATCTCGATCTCCACGACGACAGCATACGAGGATGCTCAAGGAAGTCGAAGTTCATGGAATTCAAGGCTACCAAGAGAGCATGGATGGAGTTCAGCTTCTTCCTCACCCTCCTGACTGTTCTGATACACTCCCTGACCCTGAACTCACTGAAGCACAAGACCCAATTCGGGATCGAGATCTGGAAATGGTGCCTGATGGTGCTGGTCCTCTTCTCCGGCCGCTTAGTCTCCGGCTGGGTCGTCGGGTTCCTTGTCCTCCTCATCGAGCGCAACTTCATGCTCAAGGAGAAGGTCGTCTACTTCGTCTACGGTCTCCGGAGAAGCTTTCAGAACTGCGCCTGGCTGGCACTCGCCCTCCTCGCCTGGACCGTCATCATGTTCGAGGATGCCAACGACGAGAAAAACGCTGCCATTTTGAAAAAGCTGTTTCACGGGCTGGTGGCCATCCTCATCGGCGCCACGCTCTGGCTGATCAAGATCCTTCTGGTCAAGGTACTGTGTATATAGATTGTGATTAGTTAATTGTGAATACATGAATAGGGTGAGAGTTACCTTTCTTGCTAGACAAGCAATCTCACTTCACTTTGAAGTTAGGTCTTGGCTTCATCGTTCCACGTGACGACGTACTTCGATCGCATGAAGGAGAGCGTGTTCCACCACTACATCCTCGACGCCCTCTCCGGTCCCCCCTTGGAGGCTGCCAGAGCAAGGGAAGAACTGCGGCCAGCAGCGGCGGCAGCAGAGCAGGTTACTGAGGTGGCGTGGAGGTGGAGGAGTTTGAGCAGCGGCGGTGGACCGAGGAGGATTGACATGGAGAGACTGAAGAAGCTGAGCATGGAGAGGAGAGCCACCGCGTTGAGCGTGAAGAGGCTGGTCAACTACATAAAGTCGTCGGGCCTTTCTACCATCTCCACGGCGGTTGATGGTTTCGGTAAGTCGTCGGAGATTCACAGCGAGGTGGATGCTAGATGCTGTGGTCGACGCATCTTCCGCAACGTTGCCAAGCAAGCTGCAAAGTAAGTGTGATCACTCCTTTCTTCACGGCATTTTCTCCCATTTTTTCGTCACAAAACTAGTTCATTCCAATAACTCGGATTGTTAACTAATCATGGAAATCTCAAGCGAATGTGTATATAGGTGTATAGAAGAGGAAGATCTATTGAGGTTCTTAACATCGGAAGAGGTACACACCATATTCCCACTCTTTGAAGGAGCTCTTGAAACCGGCAAGATCACCAAATCGTCGTTCAAGAACTGGCTTGTACAAGCGTACGTCGAAAGGAAGGCACTGGCCCATTCCTTGAACGACACGAAAACCGCAGTCCACCAGCTGCACAAGCTGGCAAGTGCAATAGCAATGGTGATCATAGCAGTGATGTCGCTTCTGGTGATGGGTCTGGCCACGACCAAGGTTCTACTCATCGTCACGTCTCAGCTCTTGCTTGTGGGGTTCATGTTCCAGAACACCTGCAAGACCATGTTCGAGTCCATCATCTTCGTCTTCGTCATGCACCCTTACGACGTCGGGGATCGCTGCGTCATTGATGGTGTACAGATGGTTGTGGAGGAGATGAACATTCTGACGACTGTGTTCCTGAGGTATGATATGGAGAAGATATACTATCCCAACTCGGTTCTCATTTCCAAGCCCATCAGCAACTTCAGGAGAAGCCCAGATATGGGCGATGCTGTTGATTTCTCTATTGATGTCTCCACTTCGATTGATGATTTCAATGCCCTGAAGAAAGCCATACAAACGTCAGTCAACTCTCTTCTCCTTTAGCATACAGAGTGAAGCTTGGTTCCTGGTTGATATTTACTAACCACTAAAATGAAATTGACCAAAACTGCAGATACATCGAGAGCAAGCCAAAGCACTGGAACCCAAAGCACTCGGTTCTGGTGAAGGAGATTGAGAATGTGGATAAGATGAATCTAACTCTAGCAGTTCAACACACCATGAACCATCAAAACTATGGTGAAAAGAACAGCAGGAGATCAGAACTCGTCTTTGAGCTCAAAATGATTTTCGACAACCTCGGTATAAAATACCATCTCCTTCCTCAACAGGTACATCTCACACAATTGACGAATACAAGCAACAATGGAAGGTTGTCGATCTAGTAATCTCTGCAACGGAGAAGCAATTTTCTCCGCAGTGACCAAAGCGTGTATGTACACGAACATGTTGTTATGCCATGGTGTTTGTGTTTAGTTCCTGCCGAATTATTCACTTCCCGGGCATATTACTACCAGATAAAACTCTTATCTATGCACTGTACAAATCATTTGCAGTAAAGTATTAATAAAACAAAAACAAATTCTGGATCTACTTCTCAGAGCAGCACAGATTTACAAAGGTGGATGGGCTTATGCCCGGCTCAAGAGATAGATTCCAAACCTCTTATCACAAATCCCACTTCACTGTTCTTCTGGAGCATGTAGGACAACCAAGAACACCAACAACATGAAACCTGTCTTAAAGCAACATGTGCAAGAACTGCACTGCAAAGAACCAGGGAAACATTCAGAGCTCAATACTGGAAATGTAAACTTAATCAACAGGAATATGGAGTATCATGCCTGCTGATGATGCTCAGAATACCAAGTGGAGTAACCAGTATAGCAAGTTCAAACACATAATCTGCGATTTGTAGCCATCTCCTCTACAATCACTGTTGAAAAGAGCAGTCCGATATTATTTCAGGGCACATAAAATCCAAAGCAGGAGACAGCTCAAGTTTCAGACTGAACTGTACAATCACTGTGCTGCTCAGTTGCTTCATATACAAGCAGGAATTGTAAAAGCAGCAAATCAGATGGAAAAACTTATCCATTAACAATCTTCCAGAGCCTTCCTCGGTTTCAAAGTTCCATCCACTGGGAATTTCAGAAGGATTTCTCGAAACTCCCACTAGGTTGAGCAAATCACATGACAAGATGACATGCATGCATTCATGGGATCAAAACACAGAAAGGATCACATGACAAGGCTTATCTCGGTCCTTATGGTAAACCATGGATCTACTAGGGCAATTACTTAGTAAGAGATCCCCAACCAGTAGCTGAAGTGGAATCACGAACTCTCAATCCACTACATAATCATGAAACCCCGTCTTAAACCTAATTATGAAAACAAATAAGGTGTGTCACATGCATCGGAAACCAAAACAGATCCCATCGAATTCACAGTCCATGTGCTAGCACAAAAAGATGTGAAACAGAAACATGTTCAATCGAAACCTAGTAATTAAGTATTGAGGCACAGTTCATATCGAATCCTTCAAGGGTAACAACTCAGAAGGAAATGCGCAACAGGAAGAGTTTGAAAAGAGGCAAGTGAAATATACCACCAAATAATTCGGTATTCATGCAACAATATGTCTCACCCATGAATACTGGTAGATAAAGCACGTCAGTGGTTCTTGTTTGCTGCTCTCTCTTAATGGATAAGTATGGCAAGGTTGGATCAACCACATTTCCAGCTTCTCAAGCACGGAGACATCGAACCAGCATCTCATTCACAATCGGAAACCTCGAGTTCAGAATCCTAAGAATCATTTGGTTTCTTTACTGCTCCATCCCCGTTACCACCTTTCAAATTTCCTTTTCCCCCTGATATCTTAGCAGGTAAAGACACCTTCTTCGTCATCAACAAAGTTTCACTCTGCATCAACTTCCGTCGACTTTGACTTTCCTTATCAATATTCATAAGGTGAATGTACCTAAACCTCATACCCATCAAAGGGTGCTTCACCACCAGGAAATCTTTTGAATAAGCCTCCCTGAGCACAACCGTTTGCGTCCTAATCTTATGTGAGAGATAGAATATACCGGGATGATGAACCAAAGCATGCTTAAATCTCCTTCCAAATCCCAAATACTCCCCCAAAAGAAACACATTTTCACTCTCGGTTTTCTTGGACACTAACAACCACAGCAGCTCGTGTAACACTGCCACGGTCCACTTCTCAGCTTGATCTCCATTAGGGTTCAAATGAAAAGCATTTTCATACGGAGAAACGTACGGCAGATTCTGCCATTCAAAGACCCAATCTTTCACCTTACTCACCAAATCAAACCCCTTAGGATAGCTCAACAAGAACCCAATTCGAGCTCCTTTCTTGACATTCCTCAAATCCCCTAAAGCCATTCTTCTTTCCATCTCAGACACGGCCAATTCATTCTTCCACGATACCAGCTCCAAACACAACATTTCATCACCACACTCCCCATTTCTACCTTCGCCAACAACTTGGAAGTAATCAGGGTAGTCAGATAAAAGCTCCGAAACGTAATTATGAGGCAACCCCAAATCAAGCTTGAACCTATCAATTATATGCAGTGGCAACCTCATCCTTTTGCAGAGCATCAAAACCCTCGCCAACCTCTTCACGGCATCGTCACGGTGACCCGAGGAATTCACAATGACCTGCTCTTCGCAGTGAACCTTGAATGCTGGGCGAGTTAGCTTGACTTGGAGCGGGAGCGAGGGAGAAGGCTGGAAGACGGAGAAAATGAAAGGGTACCTCTTGAGGAAGCGCAAGGCCGCCATGGGGAGATTGAAATCGGGTCTGAGAAGGGAAAGAGAGGACAGAGGGAGGGATTTTGAAGGAGAAGTGAGGATGTGATTTTTCAGGGCGATCACTTGCTTTAGATCCTTCTCCTTGGAAACTGCTGCGTCGAGGGCCGGGTCGGGAACCCATTTGATCCTCACGGCGATGAAGGTCCGGCAGTGGCGGACGCCGTGGGGAAGCCTGGCGGCGGTGTTGCAGAGACCAAGAGACATTGAATTGATTCATTGAACGTAACAGAGATACAGTACTCCCTCGTTTTCCCCCGCGGCTGATGTTTGCTGGTGGTTCTTTAAGAACTGAAGTATAGTCAACGACTGTGAATTTAAGCACGCAAGCCGTCTTAGCTCAGCCGGTAGAGCGCGTGGCTTTTAACCACGTGGTCGTGGGTTCGATTCCCACAGACGGCGTTTCCTATTGGGCTAATTTGGGTTTTGAGTTTTGCCGCGGTAGGTAAATACCGGGCCGGGCTTATAGAAAGCAAGGTCCCTACATCTTGGGCCTGGTTGGACTTCAGCCCATACTAATTTTACAGGGCAGAGAATCTTTACAGAGTATTAGATACTATAACAACACCCCTTGTGTTGTTATTGTAACAACACTAGTCTCCAACCAATAGGAAGCTAGTATTGTGATGACTTTTTATTAGATGAGTTGACCTAGTGTAAAATCAAAGAACGGGTATAATTGTCATTATGAAAAATATATTTAAATAATAAAAAAAAAAAAAATAAATAAATAAATAAATTTATTTTTGGCCCAAAATTTTGGTCGCCGGAATTCGGACATCAGTCGCCGGAATCTGGTCGCCGGTCACCGGAATATGCTATTTTGCCGCCGGAATATGCTCACTGTCGCCGGAATATGCTAACCGGCGCCGGAATATGCTCACCGGCGTCGGAATATGCTTACCGGCGTCGGAATCTAGTCATCGGGGCCGGAATATGCCTATCGACGTCGGAATCTGCTCACTGACGGTCATCGGAGTTCGGTCAACGAACTTCGTTGACCGGTCAACGGTCAACGACCACCGGATGTATGGTATGCATTGTGAGATTTATGGTTTGGTTTCTCATATTTTTGTATGCCTTTTGTGGTTTGCTTTATCGTGTTTGTGGTTTGCATTAAGAAGTTTCTGGTTTGCTTTATTGTGTTTGTGGTTTGCATTGAGAAGTTTCTGGTTTGTTTTCAAAAACTTTGTGGTTTGCATTGAGGGGTTTGTGGTTTGTTTTAGGAGATTTGTGGTCTGCATTAGGACGTTTCTGGTTTGTTTTTGTGGTTTGCTTTATCGTGTTTCTGGTTTGCATTAAGAGGTTTCTGTCATGCTTTTGAAAATTCTGTGGTTTGCTTTGTGAGGTTTCTGGTTTGTTTTAATAGATTTTTGGTTTGCATTAGGACGTTTCTGGTTTGTTTTTGTGTTTTGCTTTATCGTGTTTGTGGTTTGCATTATGAGGTTTCTCGTTTGCATCATAAATATTTGTGGTATGCTTTGTGAGGCTTCTGGTATGTTTTCGGAGATTTATGGTTTACATTAACATATTTCTGGCATTCTTTTTATGATTTGATTTACCGTGTTTGTGGTTTATATTAGGAGATTTTTTATGTGGTTAAGAACAACGAATATTCGACAAAAGCAACAACTAAAATGAACTTTTTAGAATCAACAATGGATATTCAAAACACGAACACGAATTCATGCCCTCAACAAAATGCATATGAGAAATATAATAAATCATTAAAAGAACAAGAATTCCTTCTTTTCTATCTCCTTCCACTACTACATCTGCTTCAACTCTTCACGAAGCATTTGGAAATCAACAAACACATAAAACCTTCCCTGTACCCACTGCTCAAAAAGCTCTCCCCTCCGACACTCTCTCCGCCATCATCACAACCTTCTCCCGCTCCCGCCATCCTTCCCCAATCAGCCGCTCGTCTTGCATCTTCCTCACTCTGCCTCCCGACCTCCGCTACGGCCGCTCCTTCTAATCGGCGTCGATTCCACAACTTTAGCAGCAGCAAATGACATGCTATGCTCGCGATTCCACATGCTCTCTCTCCCTAATCGACATCGCTCTCCTAGAACTGATACTTGCTCGCCTCGGCTACAACAATCTAGCCATGGCGTATGTAAATCCCAAGCTGAAAGGCTTCTTTCTGAACCCCTTTCCTCTCACCTGTTGCGATTCGACATTCAAGTTGTTGCGGCAGAGAGCAATCTGGGATTGGAAGAAGAGTTCGTTCGTTCGAGGATGAACGGAGGCGGAAGCCGGCAGAGATATGGGATCCAGCAGGAACCCGATTTTAAGGCCCCCGCTGCAGTTGTTGTAAATGAGAGAGCTCTCCGACGGAGGATGGACGGAATCGGAGGTATTCGAGGTGGGAGGAGACGGAGAATGAGGGGATGGTTTTCCATTGGAGGAGAATCGCCCAGAGAAGAAACAGAGTGGCGATAGAGCTGAGGAGTTGCAGTCTTGCAGGAGAGGTCCAATTTGGATACGAACGAAGACGCGTCTGATAAATATTTTTATTTTTGTTCTATTGTTTAATTGTCATTTTACTATATTGTCCTTGTTGTTATAATAACAACAAATAGACTGTTGTTATACTATCCGGAGCCAATTTCCATGCATCTCTAGTCTCTACCTACCAACTTAACTTGCGAGACAGATAAATGACCTTGAAAACGACATCGTTTTCAATCTTTAATCAGAACCGCCACCGCCAAATTGCGCCAACCTCTGCTTTTTCTCCTCCTCTGAACTCTCCGCCCTTTGTTGAAAAATAAAAAATAAATAAATAAAACGTCATTTCAATCCTCAATTTCTTCACGCACTCATTTTCCGAACTTCCAGACTGAACTCTCCGCCCCTCTCCTCCGAGAAATCCCGTCGCGTCTCCGCCATGGATGGTTGTACAGCAGCTTCCGATTCTCCATACGAGCTCCTCTTCCAAGCTCTGTCGCTAATCCCTACCGCTCACTACGCGGCTCTCCTCCTAGCTCTCTGGCTCGTCTTCCTCTACGATTTCCTGGAGATTCATCTCCTCCGCGATTTGGCCACCGGATTCCGGGGAGATCCCGTCAAGCTGACGTACAATGCTTCGTCGGAGCTCTACCGGGCCGTTGCTTCCAAATGCCAGGTCCTCCGCGGCAGGTTGACGATGCAGCTCCCCGATTGCTTGTGATTTTGTGATTACGCTTCAATCTGAATTGATCCTAATTTCGTTTTTGTTTTGTTAATCTTGTGCAGGTATTTACCTACTCTATGGTTGTGTAGTCCTCACATTCAAACAGCATTCCTCACTTTCTTTGGGAATCCTCCTCGTTTCACTTACAAGAGGTTGTTACCGCCTTTCTCTACTCATTCATGAATCATGATGTCTACTTTGTTGTTTATTTTACTGCGTATCTTCTGATGCTTGGCATTTCGTGTGTTGATGGTGTTCAGGGTGATGTTCTATACAAGTGATGGTGGAACAATTGCTCTGGACTGGGTACTGCACTCTGATGGTCAGTCTTCATTTTGTGTCTCCGCTGTCTGAATGCGTTTTTTTCTCAGGAATACTCTGCTTGTTGGCCTTGCATGGTTGATGTCCTGGCTTAATGAATGAAATGCTTGTTGCAACAGTCAATGAGGATGATGGTGGTGGTGCCTACACGAGCCATGCAGTCCCGCAGAAGGATGACAAAGCTCCCATTGTGATTGTTATTCCTGGTTTAACAAGCGATTCTGTTGCTCCTGTAAGTTGTCTTTGATACCGTAATCCAGTGTGGTTAATGGGATTTTGAGTTCCTCACTGTTCATTTTGTACTTTGTAACGTTGCTGTGTACCTCCTAACGTTTAAGTTGGTGTCTTGAACTGTGTGTCGTTTTGTTAACTATGATATCCTGGACATTAAGGAGGAGATGAGTGCATAGATTAGAATTCCTATTGTCTAAGGTCTGGGTTTGTGTAATGTTCTGACAATAACAAAATGTATTTGGGTCTTCTTAAATCCTAATGTTAATGGGGGTGATGAGATCCTATAGGATGGAGGGGAACTTTCTGAAGAATCTTCACTTCAGATCTGATCTAGTACCGTCAGGGCACATGCGGAGGCTCTTTCCCTTCTTGAAATAGATAATTCTCCCATCAAACCTACTCATATAGTCGCTGTGTAGTCAATTTTTTTCATAACTTGTTGAGAGTTACTTCCTATCTTGGTAGGAAATATTTATGATCAATCCTCTGTCTTGTTTCGGTACTTTACAAAGCTGTTGTTAATCTTCCTTCCTGAATCTCCATTCTTGTTTGTGATGTTTTTGTTGAATCCACAATTGAAATGTTTTCCGTAACAGTATATAAAGCACCTTGTTTTCAAGCTGGCAAAACAAGGTTGGAATGTTGTTGTAAGCAATCACCGTGGACTAGGAGGTGTTGAAATAACTGTGAGTACTAGAGCTTCTATTGTCATCTCTACTTGTGGGAATTCTTGTCCTAAACTGTTGGCTAACTTGAAATTTTTATCACAAACCAATATGGTCAGTCTGATCGCTTCTACAATGCGGGCTGGACAGAGGACTCTAGGAGAATTATCGACCACATCCATCAAGAGTATCCAGATACTCCCCTTTATGTTGTTGGAACTAGTATTGGTGCCAATATCCTGGTAAATGGATGATGTCCCTAGTCATTTTCTATGCTTCGTTTGTATTTTCAAACCTTACTTTAGCGCCACCTTTTTCATAGAACAGCAGCTCGTTTCATAACAATAAGTGTGATGGACTTCTCTGAAGTAGATGGTCTCTTGCAGGTAAAGTATCTAGGAGAGGAGACTGTTAATGTTCCTATTGTAGGTGCTGTAGCCGTTTGCAATCCTTGGGATCTTGCGGTTAGTTCTTTATGCCTCCATTTTGCTCTGAAATGTAAACTGTGTAGGATTCAGTAGCTTAAGCATTACCTTCCCTACATGGCTACATGGCAGCATTTTTGTTAATCTGGTCCCTGGTTTTAGATAGGTGACAGGTTTATCACCCGGAGATTTGTGCAGAAGCTATATGATAAGGCATTAGCATTTGGCCTTGTAGGTTATGCCAAACTGTATGTCAGCACTGCTACCTTGTTTCTGGCTCTTTTATAAAGGATTTTTCCAGTCAACCAGAAATTAGTGAATGCAGCTTAACAAGTTAATTATTACTCTTTAACTGCAGGCATCAGACTATCTTGTCTCGTCTTATAGACTGGGATGGACTTAAAAAGGTACTTTTATTTGTTTGTCCTTAGTTCAATTCCTTTAGTTTTGCACTTATAAGATCATTTAAGATGCCTGGAATTGAAGTTTGGAAATAAGTTATAGGACCTCTGTCAAGAGAGAAATGAATGGTTAGGTGATGATCAATGCCAAGAATACAGTTTCATATTGTCATTTCCATTCATCAGGCTGGCAACATTTGCATAGTTTCAAGTCTGTAAAACACCAGTTTCTGGTCACCGAGGTGGTGAAGAAATAAAGTGTTTCTAATATAAGTACATGATTTCTGTTTGATATGCACTTTGGCAGTCCCGTTCTGTTCGAGATTTTGATTACTACGCCACTTGTATTCTTGCTAAATTTGAGGTAAAGCTTGTCTCAAGTGATTTCGCATCCTTTATTCAGCATCCGATACCTATTCTGGCACTCACTAGAAGTATTTCACCTGAAATTGTAACAGACCGTAGACACGTACTACAGGCGTTCTAGCTCTGTTAACTTTGTGGGAAATGTAGCAGTACCTCTTCTGTGTATCAATGCCTTGGATGACCCAGTTTGTACAAGGGAATCTATTCCATGGGATGAATGCAGGCATGCTTTCTCTGCTTGTTCTCATGTTGTGATGTTGGGCAGTTGATTGTCCCATCGTAATTTTAGTATCCAACAGTAAGGGTGTCAATCAATGGTCTATCAGAATCTGAGATCTGAGTCTTTATAGGATGAACCCAAATATTGTCCTGGCTGCCACACAGCATGGAGGACACCTGGCATATTTTGAAGGAATATCCGCCAGTACCATGTGGTAATTCCATCTTCCATTCCTTTATCTACCCATCCATGGATGCTAAATAAGTTATAAGTATGGTTTGCCGTGGAGTGCATTTTCTCTTGCAGAGTCAGGGCTACAGTTGCACTGCCAGTATTGCATCTTCTGATTTGCTCTTGCGTTCTTGAATTTTCCAGGTGGGTGCGAGCTGTTAGCGAATTCCTCGAAGTGCTGCACTCTAGTCCGTTAAAGAACAGACCAAGAAAGGTATAATGCACCACAATTACCAAAATCCCAGATTCACAATACTAACATGTTCCATCATACGGTTACACATTTTTTACTTGCATTGAAGGTGGGACCATGCAGCACAACCACTCCATTGGAGTCGAAAATCGACCAGGGGCCTTATGTCAACTTAATGGAAGATGGAACTGTAACTGCAGTCGGCGATATCCAGAGAGACAAGATTGCAGCAGCACAACCAGACCATACCGCCGAGGAGAATAGAGAGACAATCACCGAAGACGAAGAAGAAACAAGCAAAGATGCAGCGACCAGTAAAGAGGATCCTGCTGAAAGCAAACCGGAAGCTGCTGCATCTGATCAAAAGAAACTCAATGATCTGATTGCTCCCATGAAGCGACACATAACTCAGCTCACGCGGCACAGCAGGACATCCATATGGCTTCTTGCTTACATCGCCATCGTAACAACTTGGCCGGTGCTGGGTTCTGGCCTGTTTTTCTACCTCAAGAAAAAGTTGAGGAGCTTCCTGCTACCAGCTTTGCCTAGCAGATAGATGAATATAGTTCTTGGCTGTTGTAGGGTCTGTAAGGTTGAGGGGTTGCACCCCTCCTTGTAAACTGCCCAAACATTAGAATTCAAGGACGGCAAAGAAAAGTAGGAGAAATAAGGCATAATGTTGTCATCTCATGTATTTTATACTTGTAAACTACAAAATAGCTTATGCCATTTATGTATGCATTGAAAATGCTTTGTTTACAATTTGGAGTCAAATGTCTGCAAATTCAGTAAGGATGAATCATATATATTTTTCATTTAGCCAATACATGAAAATAAATGTCTCCATTGTAATAACAAGTGAAAGTGATACTTGATGGTTGTAATAAGAGGTGCCCAATTTTTCCTTGTTAATTACAAGTTCACATAAAACTTGTCAATCTAGGTCAAAAAATGGGTGATCCTTGACGGTGTCAGATACTAGCAAGTTCATATATGAGTGACGATTTACATGAAAAGAAATGTAAATGTGCAAATGCATCGACTCTTTTAAATCAGCTCATGTAATTAAATGATTCGACATGATTCTTATGTGATAGGTAGTAACAATCATTATATTTGTGAAATGGGTAAAGATCAAGTCAGCTATTAAAAAAATACAATTTCATGCTTCGGTAACCGAAGTGACTAGAGTATCCTTTGTGCCAAAGAGGCACAAGATTGTGTAGGTTGTAGGAACTGAGTTATGGTGGCCAACCAATTAGATGAATGTTTAAAAAGAAAGGTATAATGAGATTGACCATCAATGCGAATACAAAGAAAAGCAGTTCGCGATGCATGCACATTCTATCTAATATGATAATTCTCATTAATAAGTGGCGAGACTCTACAACAACAACGTAAGTTCTCTTATTGCACAGTATGGTCAATAGTCTTGTTGGATCCGTTGTGAGCCTATATGTTCTTAATTTTAATTGATAATGGACATATAGTTGGCTTTATTAGTGTTAGAGACACTTCTTGTGTAAACATAACATAGATGAGCTAGTTCCATGCTAGCATAATCTTAGGGTTAGGGGTTAGTACTTCAGTTTTTTGTTAAATGACCCATTTATATTTTGTATTGAATGTTGTACCATCGATATTTATAGATGAATAATTATTATATGAATCCACGATGAATGAATTTAGGATTATGCTTGATGATGAGTTAGATTATGAATATTTAACCGATCATAATTTGAGTCATATATATATATTATATTATAACTTATATACAACCCATGGAAGATGGTCCCGACTCCCGACTCCCGACTTATAGACAAAAGGCCCAATGTTTCAGTTAGAAGACTGGATCAACTAATACAAGGCCCAAAAGGGCCAAAATTATAAAACCCTAAACGCCCAAGCCAATACAATTCAACGGCTACGATCAACTTATACAACCCCTAGATGACATCTCAACCGTCAAATCTTTTTCATAAAGCCAGTGCAAGAACCTTGATACAAAACCCTCTTCTAGGGAAGCTGTTCTAGCTGATAGCCGCAGTGCTTCTGGAGCTGGTCCTCTCGTTTCCTGGTAAACTCGCCGTCCATCGCTGCTTCAGTTCATCTCATTTCAGTTAGATCTCTCCCAGTTCTTCCATCGCTCCGTCGCTCCTTAGCTGGGCGGCAGTAATGGCGCAACTGAGATTGTCCAAACTCCATTGCTGGAGTGAATGCGATTCTTCTTTAGAGATAGATCGCTTTGGGCACCCTGAAATGAGTATTTGGGAAAGAGTTGATATCGTTTCTTGACGTGTAGACTAGGAGAATTGATTGGTCTACTGCTCTCTCATTCCCTGTTTTGTATTATTGAGATAGTTTTAATTGTTCATTTGTGGATTTTCGTTGGGTTGAATGTTGCGCTAAGATCTGGTATGGTTTTGCTGTTGCAGAGGAGTTGAAGGATGTCTCACCGTAAGTTTGAGCACCCCCGACATGGTTCTTTGGGATTTCTACCCAGGAAGAGGGCTGCCCGCCACAGGGGAAGAGGTTTGTGATTTCCTTTTCATTTGCTGGTCTTACGGTTTATGTATTAGATGAATATGAAGCAAAGGTTCATGATATGCTTTGTTCATTGTCCATCGTACAGTAGCATTATTCACTGGTGGCAGTATTACCATTAAATGTGCAGTATGGAATATCAGAAAGAATATGGTTCTGGTGTTCTACTTCATACCATGATTCGTGTGTTTTGAGTTTGCAACAGACCATTTTCATATGCTATGTTCTTTGATTGATGATTACAGTGAAGGCTTTCCCCAAGGACGACCCATCAAAAGAACCCAGACTGACTGCTTTCTTGGGTTACAAGGCTGGAATGACCCATATTGTTAGAGAGGTCGAGAAGCCTGGGTCGAGTGAGTATTCTTCCGGCTTTCCGGTTTCCAGTATTATTATCATATTGATGTGTTTTTTAAATTATCTTTGGGAACCTGTTTGTTGATTGTTTTTGAATCATTTGTGGCATGCAGAGCTTCACAAGAAGGAAACCTGTGAGGCTGTCACGATTATTGAGACCCCTCCTTTGGTTGTTGTTGGAGTTGTTGGCTACATCAAGACGCCCAGTGGCCTCCGGTCTCTGAACACCGTCTGGGCCCAGCATTTGAGTGAGGATGTCAAGAGAAGGTTCTACAAGAACTGGGCCAAGTCAAAGAAGAAGGCTTTCACCAAGTACTCCAAGAAGTTCGAGTCTGATGAAGGCAAGAAGGATGTTACTTCCCAGCTGGAGAAGATGAAGAAGTATGCCACTATCATCCGTGTTCTGGCTCACACTCAGGTACAAACATTAATTGGTCTTTTGCTTCAGTTATATTATGCAAAGTTCTTATCTGACTTTACTGGTTATACTCGTGTTGTATATTTGGCTCTGTAGATTAGGAAGATGAAGGGGCTGAAGCAGAAGAAGGCTCATTTGATGGAGATCCAGGTCAATGGTGGAGACATTGCTAAGAAGGTTGACTTTGCCTACAGCTTCTTTGAGAAGCAGATTCCAATTGATTCAGTCTTCCAGAAGGATGAGATGATTGACATCATTGGTGTGACCAAGGGTAAGGGTTATGAAGGTGTGGTCACTCGTTGGGGTGTCACCCGTCTTCCTCGAAAGACCCATCGTGGTCTTCGCAAGGTTGCTTGTATTGGAGCATGGCATCCTGCTAGGGTCTCGTACACTGTGGCTAGGGCTGGACAGAATGGTTACCATCACCGTACTGAGATGAACAAGAAGATCTACAAGCTTGGAAAGTCTGGCCAGGATTCTCACTCTGCCATGACTGATTATGACAGGTTAGTTTTAGTACGCAGCTCTAATCACCGTTTTTTGTAGATATGAAATCCGACTTCTACTTACTAATGGTTACTGTGTCTTGCTGCTGATGATGAATAACAGGACTGAGAAGGACATCACACCTATCGGAGGGTTCCCTCACTATGGTATTGTGAAGGAGGACTACATTATGATCAAGGGTTGCTGTGTTGGTCCCAAGAAGCGTGTGGTGACATTGAGGCAGTCTCTGTTGAAGCAGACCTCCAGAACTGCTACGGAGCAGGTGAATCTCAAGTTCATTGACACTTCATCCAAGTTTGGACATGGACGATTCCAGACTACACAGGAAAAGCTCAAGCACTATGGTCGCCTCAAGGCTTAGTTTGTTTCAAGGAGAGAGTCCTGTTTGCTCATGGCCTACTATTTTGCTAGTTGGAACATTTTCTTGTTTTGCTACTATTTTGCTGCTCTGTTTTCGAATGTTTGAGATATTTTGGAGATGGTACTTCTGCCTTTGAATGTTGTTTCTTTGTTTGCACTCTTTTTTCGATCTTTGTTAAGCTTCTTAAGTTTTTACCCTTTATTAGTTTCTTTAAGCTGTCTGAATTAGCACCTACAACCTCATACTGGGCACCTTCTACCTTGTTGTCCTTGTGGCTTGTGTTGTTTGCATAATGCAAACCTCCTAGGAGGGTTGCTAGGACAAATTGGGAATGACAAATTATATATTCTTTTACAAAATCATATGTTTGGAAAATTACAAATATCTATTAGGTACATATTTGGGAGTTATAAGTTTGTTTCTAAGGTTTTCCTCTCTTCTTTCCACACTTCCTCTCGTTGCTTTTCTACGGCCAAACAATTTTAATGATTAATCTTACACCAAACAATAATGCATGATTTAGTTAGGCATTTGTTTTCGAATGATATTCGTTGTCAATAACCGTTTAATATCAATAAGTCGAGTTGTTGGGAGATGTTCGATCATATATATTAATACCATTTATTAGCACTCTCTCTCTCTCATAAAAAGTCACTTTATACGAAAATGAAATTTCATAGATATGAATACCGTGTGCTTAAGAAAATGAGGCCGCTAAGATTCAGAATACAAGACTTTCAAATAAAATGTTCTAAATTAGGTGTCTCCTAATTTTCGGTATCGGTTAACTATTATACCTATTTGAATCATTTTCTTTCAAAGCGAGGGAGGATCCCGGGACCCACTCTGATACACTCTCCCTCTGCCACTGACAACTTAACCAAATGACAAATCAAGAGGCTTAACTTAAATTCAAATTATTTGCGCTAGATTGCATTTTCTACAACACCTCATGTTCGATGTTTCAACTCAAATTCTAACTAGTGGTGTAGCTAGAAATTTTTCTAAGGTAGGTTCAAGTGTAACAAAATGAACCACCGCACTGAACTCCACCAAAAAGGTTTTAAGCTAAACAATTTTGCCACGATTTGAACTCTCAATTCCATCACCACTCAAATGTCAAATCTACTTATCACTTTATCACAATGTCCACCTGGTAGTACTCAACTATGTCGTGTTATATCGTTTTCTGTTGTTGGTCGCGATTTCTGCATGTAATCTCATGGTCGTGAGTTCTGCCCGTGAGACCAATATAGCGGATGTTCGGAAGACAATATACCTCACGACCTCATCTCACGGTCGTGAGATCGAGGAGTGTGATTGGGACGTGTTTAATTAACTAGTGTAGTTTGGGTAGCGCTTGGTAATTAACCAAGTTGTTTGTTTAGGCTATTAACCCTAGTGGTTTAGCCATGTAGTATATACATGTTTGCAGTAGTCGAGTCCCTGTAAGTCTGCAAGCATTGGTCGAAAACCTAATAAGAGAAGTCGCAAGCTCCTTGTGTGAGCTTATCATGGACTAGTCTCGTTTGAAATAAAAACGAGGATACCACGTAAATCGGTGTTCGTTTACCTTTCCGTTTTACGTTTTTATCATTTTCAACTTTGGTGCAACCGACGGAATGTGTTCATTGGTTTGGTTTGGTAGCATTTTAAAGATCAGGTAGTTCGGGCCAACAAATTTCTGGGCCGTTGATAATCCAGTCGCTTGGCCCATCAAAAATGCAAGAGGGAGCAATCAGTACTGTCCCAAAACCAATATCTTGAACACCATCCACCGTCCGTTTAATCTTATCGACGGCTATTAGTCAATAAGCATAGAGCACACAGATCGACACCCCAGAGCCGTCGATTAATATAATCCAACGGTCCAAACTCCGTCTCGGCCTCGCATAGCTCCATTCAAACGAAAAAGAAGCACATGTCACTGGAGTTGACGCGGATCGTCATTCCCACCCGTCGATCCGCGCCCAGAATCAACGGTTCGGATCACCTATCTCCACCAACCCAGCGACTATATAAATCCTCAACATTTGCATCACCCATCATTCCATTCTCAAAGCAACAGATTCATTCGATTCAACCCACTAAAATCCATCTCTCCCACTTCGTCTTCTCAAGGAAGCAACAATGTCCGGCCGCGGCAAGGGAGGAAAAGGATTGGGAAAGGGAGGCGCCAAGAGGCACAGGAAGGTCCTCCGAGACAACATCCAGGGCATCACCAAGCCGGCCATCCGTCGTCTGGCTCGTCGTGGCGGCGTCAAGCGTATCAGCGGCCTCATCTACGAGGAAACCCGAGGCGTCCTCAAGATCTTCTTGGAGAACGTGATTCGTGACGCCGTCACCTACACTGAGCACGCTCGCCGGAAGACCGTCACCGCCATGGATGTTGTCTACGCGCTCAAGAGGCAGGGAAGGACATTGTACGGCTTCGGCGGTTGATTTCTAGGGTTCTTTGACGGTTTCGTCAGGATTCTCTGCTAGTAGCCTTCTTTTAGCTGTAGTTTTCGCTTATTTGTTCATATTCTGGGAATGAACTTTTGGAAATTAGGGTTTCAATTGCTCAATTTCGGGTCTGTGTTTGTAATAGCTCAGCTTGTTATAATGAAACGATAGATTCGATGAATTGTGGCATTTCTTGTTTGTTGATCCTTGTATTGAACCTCTCTGACTTTGGATTTTCATTGTTATTGATTCTGGAAGGCGGAGTCGTTTTCAAAGTGTTAAATTCCAATGTTTCTCTTGTTACGAGTGAACTTCTATTAACTTTCCACTATTTACACTTTGGTCGTATCCTTGTTCTGATTAACGGCTGTTCGTTAACTAGAAAAGAAACTGCTTTGGATTATTTCAGATTGGCTCCCCAACTACTAAGACTTGTTCCGGTTAGTCCACATTTTCCCTTGTTATTAGTTATTTCATTACAGTAGTTTCCTCTTGCTTGATTACCTATTGCCTCTTTCCAGCCGCATGTTATTGGCCCTTCTTCCAATTACGTTTTAGTACCCTAATTTGTAGATATTAAGATAACGGGTAAATGACACATTTGGTCACTGAGATTACTAAATCGTGTCATATTTAGTCACTAGAAAAATTTAATATCAATTTTGGTCACTCGAATTACCGACACAGATCACATTTGGTCACTCTTCTGTAGCCTCTGTCCAACTCCGGTCACTCGAATTATTGAAAAATGTCACATTTAGTCACTCGTATTACTGAAACATGTCACATTTAGTCACTCTCCCAAAAGTTTCCGTCCAACTACATTAATGGAGTTGGACGGAAACTGACGGGAGAGTGACTAAATTTGACCAGTTTCGATAATTCGAGTGACCAAAATTGATATTAATTTTTTCTAGTGACTAAACATGACACAATTTAATAATCTCAGTGACCAAATGTGTCATTTACTCATAAGATAACAGAACCCCATATATATTGTTTTCCACCCATTCAGATGTTGGCCAACCTCATATATTTTTTCCTCAACTGCGGGGAGAAGTGTTCTAAAAGTGCTATCCAAGACCAAATGGATAATATCAAAAGGCTTCAACGTTTCTAACGTAAAAGGATTCAGGCAGCAAAACCTGTGGTAGAGGCGTGGCCACAATACATGACCATTAGATTTTCAACAAGTTCGAAAGCGAATTTGAATTTGGATGTGAATGCGAATGCCAATGCGTAGCATGATCTTCGTCAGATGATTGATTCATCTGCGCGACATCTTGATCTTTGGCATTGCTTTCTTCATCTGACGAGCACGATCTTTTGCTTGTTTCCTTCGTAATGCCTCCGCGCTCAGGCTTGCTTCAGCTTCCTCTTTCTTCTCGGCCTTCTTTCTCAGCAGCTCTTCTTGTCTCGCATTTTGAAGTTCTCTGAATGCTTCTTGTGCAATTTTGTTTCTAGCTGCCTCTGTCTTAGACCGAGCCTGCAGCAGAGCAGAGCATCATAAACATGATAAAGACAAACTGACATGTCCAATTGAAGATCGGTCAGTCACTTGGGCGCAGACCAGAGAGATTCTAGATAGTAGATAGATAGCTCACCTGTGAACTCAACTTGTATCGGCCTATCAGATCAATGTAGTAGGGTACCAATGCTACCAATCTGGTCATATCAGCCATGTTGCTAGCGTCGGGCAGGGCAAACTTGAACAAAAGCATCTTCCTGTGTGCACCAGGGTGTTGATCAGAGAAATGCATTGAGATGAAGCCCTTCCCGAACTTCTCAAAAGCTTTTTCTCCAAACACCTGGAAATTACAAACACCATAGTTCAATCACACAGTCAATCAGTAAAGCCATCAAGACTTTTCCCATACTCAGAACGTCGTCAACAGCGCTACAAGTAGTTTGGAAACGTAGTAGAATCGTAGTTGCACCAAGTAAAAAGACTTCAAGACAAGTGTTTGCTGGGCAACGGGATAGTTAACCGGAAAAAAGTACCCACAAGCATTTCAAATGACTTACAAATAAAATAACTAGAGTGTCTTACTCGCTAGATTCCCGAATTAGCATTAATCAAGATACAGCTTTTCTTAATTAGAATATGTTATGATTCTGATGTGCTACATCTTCCTCCCCCTCAAGATGACATCAGTTCAGGGCTTTAATCTTATTTATCCTGTGTTTGATCCATTCCCTATTTCATTTCAAGCAGACAAATGCTGAGAGGATATAGATATAGTTCTAATGGAGTCAGTTCCCCGAAATTAGCAATAGGTACAAGTTACACCTTTGCTTCTTAGAAATAGAAGTACTTCAGGGAAATAATTACTCACTTATGATATTTAAGAGCGAATTTCAAATAGCCAAAAGGACAAAGCCAGACTATAAGAGGGTGCTTGGGTTATATAGGCATGTGATCCAATAACACTGCTTTGCCTCTCCATGAGAGAGAGGCAGGAGCCAGTGCCTGGTGCTCCTACCACTTCAATTTCGATAATGCTTCATCAAGAATGTGGACGATGCATGAAACAGCAGTTTAACAAAGATAGCCATCATCAATATTAACTAGGCAATTGAGAAGCAATATAACAGTTGATGAAACTGAAACAAATCCGTGAGAAAAAGAGATGTGAACCTGGAAACCTCCACATAAATTCTATTAGAAAAGAAGACTGACATATATGAGTGGCACTTCAAAAATCACATGGAAAACAAAATAGGGAGCAGAAAACATCTCCATATTTTGCCATATCAAGGAGCTGTGGTTTCAAAATTTTCAAACTGAGTGAGAGCACGAAACAACTTCCTCATGTTATACCATACTAAGGCTTTTATTATATTTAACTAGGCATATGGATGTAAACAGGAAAGGAAGAACCTGAACGAAGCAGCCAGCAAACATTCAGCCTTGAGTCTGAACCACCCACTCTCAAGAACAACATCACAGGAAAGGAGTTCAGTGCAAATGGACCAAAAAGCTTGAAACTTTACACCCACACTTCCCAACTGAAAATGAAGCAAGAATAAAGCACACTAGAAGTTCCCCTAGATTGCTAGGCAAAATCTAATTGTATGCACTTTTTTCCCCATTCAAATCCAAACATCACTGGACCAATTCTAGCATAATAACACAGAATTCTCACATTCCCTTCTCTAGCTAATCAACTACAGGATAGGAGAGTACAGTAGAAACCAACCTGTTCAAGCACAGCGTCAGTGATCAAGTCCCCAGCAACCTCCTTAGACTCCGAAACAACTCCCAATTCCTTGGGCACCCACCTCTTCCCATTGGCTGGTTGAGGAACAAGCACAGCAAACCTCTGCAAGTCCCGAACCTCCTTCAGCATAGTTTTGGCAGCTTTCTTCTTCGCCAGTGCAAAAATCACATGGTCCATGGCATTATCATTCATCTGCACCTGAAAAGTGATCTCATCCTTACAAGGCACCACCATGTTGTACATCTTGGCAATCAAATCGTGCCTGCTCTTCAGCTCCATCGTGGCCAACAACCCCTGGCAAAACCTCCTCCCGCTGGCGTAGAACTTGAACACATTCTGGCCTTCTTTCAATAACAACGGCGAATCGTCCCCTTCCCCAACACCCAACAGGCTGAAATTCTTCTCGAAAATGGAATCCTTGGTAGCGAACTTCGCCGCCCACGCCAGGGCAATGTTCTCGTTCTCCCGCTTCCCTGTGAAGTAGTTGATAACGAACATAATCAAGAACGAGACGCACACTATCTCCACGGTAAACGACTGCTTCCTCTTGGGAACACTCTCGCCCTGCTGCTTCAAATTCGGATCTGCGATTTCCTTCTCGTCAGACTGTGGAGTCATCGGAGTACCCGCAGCCGGTGGTTTCTCATTCGGCAGACCTTCAAACTCGTCTTCATCCCACTCGTTGAAGCTAGAACTCGTAGTAGCAGCTGGAGTTGACGAATCGGATTTGGGTTCGGAAGCATCCGAATCAGTAGTAGCAGAAGGAGTTGAATCCGGCTGATTCGAATCTGGAGTGGAGGAAGCAGAGTCGGTCACCGTCAAGGGAAGATCGACGAGCTTAAAAGAAGAAGGGTCGAGCGGCTCCTCCGCGACATCGTCTTCATCGGCGTCGAATCCTTCGAATTGGGAATCGGAGAAAGCGGATTGCAGGAGGATGGAGAAGAGGAAGAGAAACGAGAGGAGAGTGAGAAGGGAGGAAGGTCGGATCATGGCGGACCGGAAGGGAAAGAGATCGGCGATGGAAGCAATTAGTTAGAGAGAGGAAGACATCGTCGTTGTTGTTAAATTGGGGAAGGAGATGAGATTGAGACGACTCTGAGCTGTCGAGTAGCAGAAAACAGTGAGACCAAGGGTGTTATCGGAATTTCACAAGATTGAATCATTGTGCACTAAAAGGTAAATTACACTTTTCATCACTGCCATTTTATCCAAATTTCTGAAACGGAAGTATTAAAATCGCTGTACCAATTAACGACTTCTGGTTACTAGGTGCTCTCGCTCCTGCGGATTGAAGAACTCGTTAACCGTGAAAACGATTCGATAACTCCAAAGCTAATCCATAAATGGGTTCGAAAAATCGTGAATGCAGAGGAACACGGATCTGAAATGTCATCAGATTTCAATGGAATAATTGGGAAAAAATCCCAGAATACGCGAGTTATTAAAAAAAATTCCCTAAATACAGTACTTATAAAACTAATTCCCAAAATACAGCAGTTTCAACATCACTGTCTTTGTCTAAGACAGTGATGTTGATCACCGCTTTTGTCCAAAGCAGTGAAGCAGCGGGGTACGCATCACCGCCTTGGACAAAAGCGGGGAATGCATCATCGCTGTGGTCAAAAGCGGTGATACGTTCCCCGCTTTTGTCAAAGGCGGGGATTGTATCCCCGCTTTTGACAAAAGCGGGGAACGTATCCCCGCTTTGGACATCAACAGTGAAGCCATCACCGCTGTTGTCCACAGCAGTGATTGCCCCCACGTTTTACACAGCCCTGGTAGGTGGACAGGTAGGTAACAGCTACCTAGCCATCACCGCTGTTGACTAAGGCGATGATGGTTCACCGCCTTTGTCCAAAGCGGTGATTGCCTCCAATTTTTCCTATAAAAAGCCACGCCCCCTCTTCCCTCCTGCTGCCAAACACTCCTGCTGCCAAACAGAAAATTAGTACCAAAATTATCGTTTTCGCAGCTGGTTCCTCCGTAGTTTACTGCTCAAGAAACTCGTCGGGATTCGGTATGTTAGAATTATGTATTGTTTACATTTTGATTATGTGCTAGAATTAGGTATGTTAGAATTATATATTTAGATTAATGATATATGTTAGTTAGTTAGTACTGAATTTAGATTAATTTGTTTAGTTATCATGATAGATCGGGATTGAGTATGTTATAAGTACGTATTTTTTACATGTTGATGTGTTAGTAATTATACTGTTTGTATTTAGTGAATTGCGGTTATTGGAAAATATGTTATGATATTATTTAGTTTAATTATGATATGATAGATGTTAGTTAGCTAGTTATGAATTTAGATGAATTTGTTTAGTTTTCTCATAATAGATAAATTAGTTGCATTTTATTATCGCTTTGGATGATATTGTTTTTGTATCCATAATGTACTAATTATATACTATACTTAATTATTATAAATTGCAGACATGGGTAAATTTAAGAAGTTTCGGCTTATTATTTATTGGAATGGTCGGGTGACAAACTCGAACATTGGGATCGACTATGAAGATGGCGAATCCAGTTCGCTTACAATTGAGTCGAGATTCTCGTGGCAAGAACTCCATGACAGGTGTGCAGAAAGGACTTGTACGGGCGGGCAAATGAGAGTTCGTCAAATTACTTACCGGTATCCCAACATGAGTGCTGACGGAGTCATGTACGAAAGAGTTGACATAAATGACGATGACGACGCGAACATGATGACACAGTTCATATCTGAGAACGGGGTGCGGCTTGCAGAGGTGTATGTCGAGACCGAGCCGGTCGGTGAAACTCATTCTCACCAGTATTCTTATGATGATGGTTTTGCAGGAGGGTATGGCTGGGGTGGTAGTTCAAGTAACTACGGAGCAGGTTCTTCTGCCGGAGGGTATGGTTGGGGAGGTACTTCAAGCAACTACGGAGGAGGTAGTTCTGAAGGAGCTGTTGGGTGGGAAGAATACCTGCCACATGGTGGTGAGACTGCCGTCGATATCGTTCAGCCCGACGGTGATCAATGGCCTGCTTCGGGTCCAGAGTGGGGTGACATTGAAAACACCCTTCGAACTGGGCGTACTTCGCATGACCAAGAAGGCGATGCTGGTTATGCTGCTAACGATGACCCTCCTTCGCCGAGATATCCATTCGCCTCCAGTGACGATGAAAGTGAGGAAGATTTGAGATCAGTCAGTGAGGAGGAAGATGCGGACGATAACGACGATATCGATGACAGTGAGGTGGCGTTCCGCCAGGCACCAACGCCTTACTACACAGAGGTTCCTGATCAATTTTTATATGGTCAGAACGATGCCCCTGACTATCGGCCCATGCCTGTGTATAATCCGACTGCTAATTTGGAAGTGGGTATGGCGTTCACTTCGAAAGCCGATGTGCAAGACGCTTTTAGCGAAGAAGCCATGCGGCGTAATTTCGAATGGAAGGTAAAATATTCTGACAAGGGACAACTGCATGTCATTTGTAAGAATGCTGGAGAGGGTTGTATGTGGCAACTTCGTGCTGCATATATGAAGAGAAAGGGGGTCTGGGTCATGCGGACAGCAGAGAACAACCACAGTTGCTCCTCAACCATACTTTCACAGGATCACCGGCAACTGAAAGCAAAAAAAGTGGCAAGAACCATTAAGCACCTTATCGAGGCACAACCAGATATCAAGATAAAAGCTATCATGGCGGAGGTGAAGGATCGACACTCCTACACCATAAGGTATAAGAAGATCGATCGATATTGCCTCAAAGATCGATCGGGCAGGTGCCACTCCACCATGTGCCAGCAGATTAAGGGCACCTTGCACAACCATGTCTCTTGATCCTCGGGATGTCTAAGACGATGCAACTCAACCACTTCATTTGGATATGGATCCCATACCGCCTACAATCATTACAATTCACGTAATTAGTAAAAATTATATCCACTCCACCTAATAAATTGAAAATCATGACATTCAATATTTTTACCTGGTTCCACCAAGGCTTATCAAATTCAGCACGATAAAACAGTAAAGAGTGCTCGGCCTGGTGGTCGTTAGTATTTGCTCCGATCCACCTAATTAAGCAAAAGTACATATATAAGCAATTTTTAAATTAGCTAAATACGATTTGGTTAGAATAAATCCAAATTCACTTACTTGGAAGATATCTAAATTCACTAAAATACTAGAATTGCAGACCTAAAATGTCTCTAAATTCGCTTAGTTGGAAGATAGCTAAGTTCACTAAAATACTATAATTGCATACTTAAAATTGCATACTAAGTTCACTAAGTTCACTAAAATCTAAATTCACCTAACTAGCTACCATTGCATATCTAAAATAAATTCAACTTAAATTGAACTTACTTGAAACCATATGGGGGATTTGCTACAAATCGTAGCTCATCATCTGGCAACCAGAATTCCCGAGGGTCTTGAGGTGCGAGAAACGGAAGATGCTCCCATGCCCAGAGTTGAAGTATGAACATCGCACCACCAGCTTGTTTCGCTCCCAACCTCGAGCAAGTACACAACTCTCGGTAGATTCCAGCCAAGACGGCCGACCCCCAACTTTTTCTCCCGATCTCGTCCCAGTCACCGAGGAGCATAGGGAACCACATGCCTTGTATCCACTTATTTGACTTGTCGGGGAACAGAAACCCACCAACCAAGGCAATTAGGTATACACGTGCATACCGCTCCACCTGATCTTCAGGAGTATCCAGGCCTATATTAACCTCCAATTGGATGTGGTCAACAAGCCACGGGATCGATACTTGCCCCGCATTCAGTGGTGGATGCCCAACCCCTTCGACGGGCGTGGTGGTCGGCATGTTGAACCCCAGACGTTCCTGAATCAATGGCCCCCAACCATCTTCTGGTTTTCTCGAGCTGTCGATGATGGCATCTCCGGTGATCGGGAGCCCGGTGAGGATGGCAACATCTTTGAGGGTGATCGTCATTTCACCCTCGGGAAAGTGGAAGGTATGCAGCTCAGGGCGCCATCGCTCTGCCATTGCCGTCAGCAGATCGTTGTCAATATCTAGCCTCATAAAGTGCCTCAAATTGTGCAATCCCGCCCTCTCTAGATAGGGATGCAGTCGAGGATGCCAACGGGGCAATCGACATGTACCTCGATGACTGATGGGAATAAGTGATTCCTACAAAACAAAAAACACAATATTGTCAGTCAATAGAAAGCAAAATAAAAACTTAGAAAGCAAAATAAAAACTTTAAAACTATTGAAATAATTGTAGTGTATCTACCGGATTATTGTTCCAAATTGAACGAGAGCGATGTTGATCTTGCCCGGTTAAATACCTTCGATCCCTTGGGCCAGGATCGATATACAATCTAGGGTCGTATATCTCAGCACCCATCTATAAAAAAATATGAAATCAAATCAATTTAAATTTTAGCACCCATGTAAAAAAAAATGCACAAAAGAATTAAATAAATTTACGTACTCTCAAAGCCTCTTCGTCCATTTTTTGCCGAAAAGCTAGCGAGAGTATCGACAAAACAACAAAACAAAAACTCTAGTAATTCTTTCTGATGCGGAAGATCGGACTTAGCCGCAATCACAGAGCATACTTAGAACGAAACTAGAGTGAAAAATGGAGGGAGAAAGAAGTATGAAGTGGTGGTGTGGTTTGGAATGAGAGGGGGGATGGGTATTTATAGGGTTTGGGGCTGGGAAAAAACCTGGCCAGTTATCACCGCCCCAAACAAACACAGCGCCATCACCGCCTTTGTTGGACGCGGTGATGTGCAGGGATCGCTGACGTGGCCTCTCCTGATGCGTCGGATTGTGGAGAAAAACCACAATCCGCGCATAACTGCATCCGACGGCAGCGGTGAAGACGCGGGGTGGGGGGCGGATCGCTGACGTGGAAAGCGGGGCTATCACCGCTTTGGTCTTCAGCGGTGAAGTGCCCGCGCGCGTCCACGTCAGCGATCCGCGCCCCTTCACCGCTGTTGGATCCAACGGTGAAGGCTTCACTGCCTGCCACATCAACGGTGATGCCATCACTGTCGTCCTTGACAGCGATGATGGCATCACTGCTTTGGTTTAAAGCGGTGATAACATCACTGCTTTACTCTAAAGCGGTGATGTATCATCGTTTTAGACCAAAACGGTGATCAACATCACTGTCTTAGACAAAGACAGTGATGTTGAAACTGCTGTATTTTGGAAATTAGTTTTATAAGTACTGTATTTTGGTAATTTTTTTTAATAATTGGTATATTCTGGGATTTTTTCCGAATAATTGAGTCGGCTGAAGAAAGGGAACAATTGAAAAAAATTCATTCTTCCATTGAAACAAGCTAAGCGATTACAGGCATGACCCGACATTGATACGTCGAAAACCCTAATTGCTAAATGCTAACAGTTCATCCCGAGAATATGAACAAATAGATCACCAAACTAAAAGCTAGGAAAGCCAAATCGGAGACAGATAGCTGATCCAGCTGAAGGAATACAAGAACCCCAAGAACTCAACCACCGAAGCCGTACAAGGTCCTGCCCTGCCTCTTGAGCGCATAGACGACGTCCATGGCGGTGACGGTCTTCCGGCGAGCGTGCTCCGTGTAGGTGACAGCGTCGCGGATCACGTTCTCCAAGAAGATCTTGAGGACGCCGCGGGTCTCCTCGTAGATAAGGCCACTGATACGCTTGACGCCGCCACGGCGAGCGAGACGGCGGATGGCCGGCTTGGTGATGCCCTGGATGTTGTCGCGGAGGACCTTCCTGTGCCTCTTGGCGCCTCCCTTTCCCAGACCCTTGCCTCCCTTGCCGCGGCCGGACATTTTTTGGGCTTCCTCGAGAAGACGAAGTGGGGGGGAAGATGGATTTACTGCGTTGAATTGAACGAATCGATTGCTTTGAGAATTGGATGTGGGTTGAGAAAAATGTTGGAGGATTTATATAATTTGTTGCGGAGGTGGAGATGGGCTGATCTGGAGCGTTGATTGAGGGAGTGGATCGACGGGTGGGAATGGCGATCCGCGTCGCTCCAGTGACATGTGCTTCCTTTTGTTTGAAGGGAGCTTGGTGATGGTTTGGGCCGTTGGATAATCTAAATCGACGGTCCAGGATGTCGATCCGCGCGCTCCGTAATTGTACACAGTTTCATCCGTCGATCATATTTAATGGACGGTGGATTATTCAAGGAGATTGTTACAGGTAGTCATGTGAATTGTGACCAAGGGGGCCATGTAGATTTGGGTGGTGAACTGGTGATGGATATGAGAGTTAATTTAAGAAAAAATTATTTATTTGAGGCTTATTATTTTATGGATTTATCGATAATTCGTATCATTGTAAATTTGTAATGAATCGAGTTGTACCAGCTTATCGAGTTAGGAGAATTATCAGTCTCGTATCGTACCTCATGCATATCATTATTCTTATTTTTGACGTTTGGTTACTCGAATGTTGTTTTTTAAATGGTTGTCTATTTCGACTAAGAAGAAGATTCATATACTTTGTATGTGTTATAAAACATTATTTGAATTACCCAGTAAAGTAAACTTAAAATATATTTTTGTTTGTCTGCTTTCTGTTCTATAGAGTATTAGAATGGGTCATGTTAGTATGTGAGAACATAGAAGTAATATATATTGAATGACTATAGACTTCGAAACCCAAAACGGTGTAAAACTACTAGGAGTCCAAGCACAACCAGACATTATCAGACTTCTACTATCTATGGATTCGTATAACCTTACGTCAATACAAAGTTTGATTAGTATAAGTATAACCATAAGAAATGAATGCACCTAGTGACATTGTGGAGTAACTAGAGATGTCAATGTCTTATTCCAATGTCCAGATTAGAGAATATCATAAACGCCTTCATTATAGAGTTACTCAAAATCAAGGGTTCCGCAGCTAGTTTTACGAATTACTTGTTTACTAAACCGCTGGATGTTGCAAATTGCAATGTGCTTAAAGAAAATGAATCTGCACTCTGCCATTAACGAAAGCAACATTTGATGGTTCTTCGTCTATGTAGAGAAAACTGACCTCGAACGGCAAACGGATTCAATACAACTAGCTAATTTCAATCGGAAAATTAACAAAGTTCACAAATGCACACAATTCATAGATCTTTCCTTCATTAAACAGAGCTTGGAATTACAACACAAACATCGACCGGAAGTTTGAAACCCTAGATCTGAAACTTCTTAGATCCACACACTATGAACAAGTAGTTCACACAAGGACTAGAAAAGAGACTGAAAGAGAAAAGGCTGCTCCGCTTAATTCGTCCACGAACCGGAAAACCTCAACCGCCGAACCCGTACAAGGTCCTGCCCTGCCTCTTGAGCGCGTAGACAACGTCCATGGCGGTGACCGTCTTCCGGCGAGCGTGCTCGGTGTAGGTGACGGAGTCACGAATGACATTCTCCAAAAAGATCTTGAGGACGCCGCGGGTCTCCTCGTAGATGAGGCCGCTGATGCGCTTGACGCCGCCACGGCGAGCCAGACGGCGGATGGCCGGCTTTGTGATGCCCTGGATGTTGTCGCGGAGGACCTTCCGGTGCCTCTTGGCTCCTCCCTTTCCCAGTCCTTTGCCTCCCTTACCGCGGCCCGACATTTTTGGTTGATTTGAGAAAAGGAGAAGGAGAAGCGGGAAGAATTAGGTCGAAATGTGATTTGAATTTTGGATGAGATGAGTTTGTGAGGGAAAAGAAACTGATGGTTTGAGTATTTATAAAGCTGCTGCGGGGCTGGGAGATGATGGATTGGTGACCGTTGATTTGGAGGTAGGGATCGACGGGCGAGAATGGCTATCCGCGTCACTCTGCTATTACGTGGGTGGAAGTTTGGTAATTTGCGAGGGAAGGATTTTGGAGCGTTGGATTGGAGTAATGGACGGCTTGAGATGCCGATCCGTGTCATTGGGAAGCTGTCCATTTATGTCCGTTGATGAGATTTATATCGACGGCGGAAGATAAATATGAAAGACAAACATTGCTCTCGCCTTGCGCACTTCTTGGATCGATTTTCATTTATTTAGGGGTCGTTTGGAAGTTGTGATTGTTAGAGTTGTGTTTGTTGAATACATGTATTGTGCACAATACAATGTTTGGAAGTGTCAAAGTGTAAAACAATGCATGCATTGTTTTAGGTAGGTCCCACCAACAATCACAAAAAATGATGCATTATACAATCTCAACTAAAAGTTGAGATTGTTGTGATTGTTGGTTTTAGATTTGTGTTAACTTTTTCTTTCCATCTATATCCCTAATAGTTTTTGTTTTATTCTAAAAGTTGAGGATAAATGTGACATTTCCCCATAAAAGTAACTTTATGTAAATCAATGCATAAAGTAGAATCTCAACAACCAAACAATGTATTGTTAAAATGCATCCATTGTATCAATACATGCATTTATATTATGGCGATTCATTACAATGCAACGATTTAACATTCACAACTTCCAAACGACCCCTTAGTTCAATTTTGTATTTTATTTTGGGTTAAGATTTTAGTTTGGCCCGAACTATACACATACTTTCTACTTTGGCCCGTGGTATTGAAAATTGCTACTATGGCCTGAACTATGTAGCAAACTTCCTCCTTTGGCCTGGAGGCGGGTTAGTCAACGTACACCTCACCTGACACGTCAGATTGGAGAAACATAAAAAATTATATTTTTAAATTTTTTTCTTTCGATTAATAAAATTAATAATAATTCTTATACAAAAAAAAACTAAAAAGTCAATTAAAAGAAAAAAAAAAGATAAAGGCCAAAATTATCTCAGCCCTCCACTTCCCTTATCCTCAGCCATGGCTTCCAGGAACTCACTCTTCCCATTCCTTTTTACAATCTGTACTAGCTTCCTCCTGCTAACTCCAACCAACTCAGATGCACCTCCTCAAGCTCCACTGTACAACACGGGCATCAAAGCAGCCTACTGGCAAATGGCAATCATCCATGGCGGAATCTTTCCCTCCATCGTCAATCCAAACTTCCCTCTTCACCCACATCCTCTACGCCTTCGTCGAAATCGACCCATCATCGTACGAGCTCACCATCTCCCAATCCGATCAAATTTTAATGACCAACTTCACCTCCACCCTACACTCCAAATCCCCACCACCGCCGAAGCTCTTCCTCTCCATCGGCGGCGGGGGCTCGAACGCCTCAGCGTTCGCCACCATGTCCAGCAACCCGACAACCAGAACGAAATCCATCGCCTCCACGATCAAATCCGCTAGGGACCACAACTTCGATGGCCTCGATCTCGACTGGGAATTTCCTCAAACACCTGGCAAAATGTCCAATTTGGCGACCCTCCTCCAAGAATGGCGGGGCGAGCCTCCTGTCGGAATCCATCGCCACCAATCGCACAATGCTCCAGCTCTCCACCGCCGTCTACTCCGCCTCCAGCTTCATCCTCTCGCCGGAGGGTCCTTCCTACGTCGGCGACGGGGGAGCCAGCGGTGCTGTTCGATAAAAAGAGCAACGTCAGTACCGGATACGGGATCGGGTCGTGGATCGGGATCGGGTCGCCAGCCCTCCATAGTCTCCGGTTGATGCGGGAGGATAAGGGAAGTGGAGGGCTGAGATAATTTTGGGCTTTTTCTTTTCTTTTTTCGTTCTTTTAATTGACTTTTTAGTTTTTTTTGTATAAGAATTATATTATTAATGTTATTAATCGAAAGAAAAAAATTAATTTTTTATGTTTCTCCAATATGACTTGGCAGGTGAGGTGTACGTTGACTAACGGTCAACAGGTTTGACCGTTTAATTTGACGGTCAAACCCGCCTCCAGGCCAAAGGAGGAAGTTTGCTACATAGTTCAGGCCATAATAGCAATTTTCAATACCACGGACCAAAGTAGAAAGTATGTGTATAGTTCGGGTCAAACTAAGGTATTAACCCTTTATTTTTATGAGATATTGAGATGCAATCGACCACTACGACATTCATCAAAGATCAAACAGGTAGCTATGTACTAAGCAAATTGCTTTTATAAATGGTTGTATATTTTGACAAAGGGAGAATCGTGTATTGCAATTTGAATGATCGGTTACAGAGAGAGGGGGGAAACAAACATATCGGATAAAAAAAAACAAGATCAAAACACCCCAAGCAATCGGTTGAAACCAAGTCGTGTATGAAGAAAACAACAAATGAATGCAAATCACATATTTTCATCAGTCATCTAACAATGTCGAGAGTTTGAACCAGACACAATACACCCTAAATCTCTCTCGCTTCCAACCAAACAAAGTAACAATAAGATTTCAAAGGGTACCCCTTTGGAATCTACAAAAAATTGACCCAAAATAAATTCGTCCAAATCGTTGCTTAATGGACTTAATCATCGTTGAAGAATAACATCTGACCGAATCCGTAATATTTAGCTTTCAAAATCCTAAGAAAATGACATTTCGTTGCCGAAACAATTACGAAAATGTCATCCGAAAATAAACTGGCACAAATCGGTGCTTAATGGACTCATCATTCGTGGAGAATAGGATCAATAGACTTTAATATCGGTGGAGAATAGCCTCGGCATGAATCTGTGATCTGTAACCTCCAGAATCGAAAGAAAATGACATTTCGAAAAAATCGCCTGAAATCTGTGATGGTGTACACCTTTGGAATCTGCCAAAAATTGACTTACAATAACTTCACTCACACCGGTGCTGAATGGACTTAACCACCGTTGAAAAATAGCCTCACGTCATATCCATGATTTGTAGCATTCAAAACTCAAAGAAAATGGCATTTCGTAGCAAAGTCTGTTTCTTATTCTGAATTTTTTCTGCCTACAAATATGTCATCCGAAAATAAATTGGTACAAATCAGTGCTCAATGGACTTATCATCCATGAAGAATAATATCAATATATTTCATTAATGATGGAGAATAGCCTCGGTCTGAATCCATGATCTGTAGCCTCCAGAATCGAAAGAAAATGACATTTCCGAAAATCGCCTGAAATCTGTGATGATACCCCCTTTGGAATCTAGCAAAAATTGAACCGGAATAAATCCGCTCAAATCGATGTTGAATGGACTTAATCATCGTTGAAGAATAGTCTCAGACCGAATTCGTGATCTGTAGCCTTCAAAATCCAAAGAAAATGATATTTCGGAAAAATCGTTCGAAATCTGTGATGGTACCCCTTTGGAATCTGCCAAAATTTGATCTAGAATAAATCCTCCAAAATCGGTGCTAAATGGACTTAATCATCGTTGAAGAATAGCCTCAGACCGAATCCGTGATCTGTAGCCTTCAAAATCCAAAGAAAATGACCTTTTGTTGGCCAAACAATTACGAAAATGTCATCCGAAAATAAATTGACTAAATCACTCCTTAATGGACTTATCATACATGGATGTTATGATCAATAGATTTCATTATCGGTGGAGAATAGCCTCGGCCTGAATCCATGATCTGTAGCCTCCAAAATCTAAAGAAAATGGCAATTCGAAAAAATTGCCCGAAGTTTGTGATGTAGCTCTTTGGAATCTTCCAAAATTAACACGGAATAAATCCTCCCAAATTGGTGCTAAATGGACTTAATCATCGTTGAAGAATAGACTCATGCCGAATCCGTGATTTGTTGCCTTCACAATCAAAAGAAAATGGCCTTTCGTCGCCCAAAGCATTACGAAAATGTCATCTGAAAATAAATTTGTCCAAATTGGTGCTCATAGACTTATCATACGTGGACAATAAGATCAATAGACTTCATTATCGGTGGAGAATAGCCTCGGCCTGAATTCTTGATCTATAGCCTACAGAATCGAAAGAAAATAGCATTTCCGAAAAATTGACCGAAATTAGTGATGGTACCCCTTTGGAATCTGCCAAAAATTGACACGAAATAAATATGCCCAAATCGGTGCTAAATGGACTCAATAATCGCTAAAGAATAGCCTCAGGGCGAATCCATGATCTGTAGACTTCAAAATTTAAAGAAAATGGCATTTTGTCGACCAAAACATTACGAAAATGCGATCCGAAAATAAATTGGCCCAAATCACTGATTAATGGACTTATCATCCGAGGATAATAGGATCAATAGACTTGATTAACGATGGAGAATATCCTAGACATGAATCCTTGATCTATAGCCTCCAGAATCAAAAGAAAATAAAATTTCGGAAAAATCGCCCGAAATCTGTGATGATACCCCTTAGGAATCTGCCAAAAATTGACCCGCAATAAATCTGCCCAAATCGGTGTTGAGTGGACTTAATCATCGTTAAAGAATAGCCTCAGGCCAAATCCCTAACTTGTATCCTTCAAAATCCAAAGAAATTGGTCTTTCATCGCCCTATAAATTACGAAAATGACATCTTAATATAAATTGGCCCAAATCGGTGCTTAACAGACTTATCATCCTTGGAGAATAGAATCAATAGACTTCATTATAGGTGGAGAATAGCCTCAGCCTGATTCCATGATCTGTAGCCTCTAGAATCGAAAGAAAATGGCATTTCGGAGAAATCGCCCGAAATGTGTGATGGTTCCCCTTTGGAATCTGCTAAAAATTGACCCGGAATAAATCCGTCCAAATTGGTGCTTAATGGACTTAATCATCATTGAAGAATAGCCGCAGGCCGAATCCGTGACCTGTAGCTTTCAAAATCCAACGAAAATGGCCTTTCATCGCCCCATAAAATTACGAAAATGACATACGAAAATAAATTGGCCGAAAATGGTGCTAAACGGACTTATCATACGTGGAGAATAGGATCAATAGACTTCATTATCGGTGGAGAATAGCCTCAGCCTGATTCCGAGATCTGTAACCTCCAAAAGCGAAAGAAAATGGCATTTCGAAAAAATCGCCCGAAATCTGTGATGGAATCTGCCAAAAATTGACCAAGAATAAATCCGCCCATATCGGTGCTTAATGGACTTAATCATCGTTGAAGAATAGCTTCAGGCAGAATCTGTAACTTGTAACCTTCAAATCCAAAGAAAATGGCATTTCTTCGTCCCATAAATTACGAAAATGCCATACGAAAATAAATTGGCCGAAAACGGTGCTTAACGGACTTATCATCTGTGGAGAATAGGATCAATAGACTTCATTATCGATGGAGAATAGTCTCGACCTAATTCCGTGATCTGTAGCCTATAGATAGGAAAGAAAATGGCATTTCGGAAAAATCGCCCTAAATCTGTGATGTTACCCCTTCGGAATCTGCCAAAAATTGACCTAGAATAAATCCATCAAAATCGGTGCTTAATGGACTTAATCATCGTTGAAGAATAGCCTCAGGACGAAAGCGTGACCTGTAGCCTTCAAAATCTAAAGAAAAAATGGCCTTTCGTCGCCCCATATATTACGAAAATGACATCCGAAAATAAATTGGGCCAAATCGGTGCTTAACAGACTTATCATTCTTGGAGAATAGGATCAATAGACTTCATTATCAGTGGAGAATAGTCTCGACCTAATTCCCTTATCTGTAGCCTCCATAATCGAAAGTAAAGGGCTTTTCAGAAAAATCGTCTGAAATATGTGATGATACCCCTTTGAAACATAACAAAAATTGCCTCAGAATAAATCCGCCCAAATCGTTACTTAATGGACTTAATCATCGTTGAAGAATAGCCTCAGGTCGAATCCGTGACCTGTAGCTTTCAAAATCCAAAGAAAATGGCCTTTCTTCGCCTCATAAATTACGTAAATGCCATACGAAAATAAATTGGACGAAAACAGTGCTTAACGGACTTATCATCTGTGGAGAATAGTATCAATAGTCTTCATTATCGGTGGACAATAGACTAGGCCTGATTCCGAGATCTGTAACCTCCAGAATCGAAAGAAAATGGCATTTCAGAAAAATCGCCGGAAATCAGTGATGATACCCCTTTGGAATATGCCAAAAATTGACCAGGAATAAATCCACCTAAATCGATGCTTAATGGACTTAATCATCGTTGAAGAATAGCCTCAGGTTGAATCTGTAACCTATAGCCATCAAAATCCAAGGAAAATGACATTTCCACGTCCCATAAATTATGAAAATGCCATCCGAAAATAAATTGGCCCAAATCGGTGCTTAACAGATTTATCACCCGTGGAGATTAGGATCAATAAACTTCATTATCGGTGGAGAACAGCCTCGGCCTGATTTCGTGATCTGTAGCCTCCAGAATCGAAAGAAAATGGCATCTCAGAAAAATCACCCGAAATCTGTGATGGTACACCTTTGGAATATGCAAAAAATTGACCCGAAATAAATTCGCCCAAATTGGTGTTTAATGGACTTAATCATCGTTGAAGAATAGCCTTAGGGCGAAACCATGACCGGTAGCCCTCAAAATCCAGAGAAAATGGTTTTTCATCGTCCCATAAATTACGAAAATGCCATCCAAAAATAAATTTGCCAAAATTGGTGCTTATCGGACTTATCATCCTTGGAGAATAGGATCAACAGACATCATTATCGGCGGAGAATAGCCTCGGCATGATTCCGTGATTTGTAGCATCCATAATGGAAAGAAAATGGCATTTCGGAAAATTCGCCTAAAATCTGTGATGGTACCATTTGGAATCTGCA